GAGCTGTTGACCGGGACCAGCCCTATAAATTGCACCCCCATACCTAATTAAATCATTCACACTACAATGTCAGCAGCATGCCATAACTCACGACAGCTCGGAGGAACCAGGCGCTTGGAAGATTCGACGCTGGCCACACTGCCCAAGCCGTTGCCAATCACTTCCAGGTCAATGTTCGGGCTATCTAAGGCTTCAGCAACGCTTTCGGGCTACCAACACCACTTATGATCGCCCCCGAACTGGTAGACCGAGGGATACCACAAGGCGACAAGACCGTCATGTTGTGCGAAAGCACGTGCAGAATCCCTTCCCACAGGCATCTGAGACAGCACGTCAGACCCATCAGTACCGATACAGTGCTGAAACCAAATAACTTAAAATCAATTTCAAATTCAATTGTATTAAATAATACAACAAACGTTTAACACCCGAAGTTAGGCTTTTGCCAAACCAAATAAATCAACTGAAAGTTTACCACCCGAAATTGGGCTTTGGGCAAACCTTAAATAAATCAACTGAAAGTTTACCACCCGAACTTGGGCTTTGGTCAAACCCTATATTAAATCAAACAGATATATAGTTAAACTTCAAAAATTTGTCACAACTTCATATTTCATTCAGTAAAAAATAATTCAAATTAAAACTTCCCAAAAATTGTCACAATTACAAATTCCATTCAGATAAAATAATTCGTATGAAAATTCGTCCAAACTTCAAATTTCATTGAGATAAGATAAAATAAGTTAGTTTATGACGAACCCCGGGAACAGCTGTTCCTTCATGCACTAATGAAATTTAATGAAGGCAAATTAAATGAAAATCATTATCACTAAGCAGGGGCGGATCCAGGAATTTTTGCAGGAGAGCGTTTGCCAGGTTCATGAGACAAGGTATCCCCCCCCCTCCCGCATGGCCTCTATCGTCATTTTGGCGTATATACATACACATTGAACTTTTTAAACAGAGAAATTCAACACCTCGTTTGACGTCAATTTTTAATATGAATTGATACAATGACATTGTGATTCAATTTCATGGATGCAAAGCATTAATTGTGATATCACATAATGTCAATATCATTATCTCGTGTTTTGAGTGCCCATCCTGTTCCACATCTGACGATGAAGGATAAAGCACACGGCCGAGATACTTTTCACATAAAAGTTGTTGATTTACAAAAAAAATATTATGTAGCTGAGCAGGGGGGGGGGGGGGGGGTCGACCCCCCAAATCCCCCCTCTGGATCCGCCCCTGCTAAGTAAATTACGCCTATAAATACACGGTAGTGGTGTTGCCCATAATCCGCTGTATTAACTCACAGCTCACCTTCGTACTCTCCCATGTTGCAGGAAGACAGCCGTGACAAAGATGGGCGCAACATTAAGTTGAGGAACAGGAGAGTGAAACTGCAAAAATAAACAAACAAAAAAACACCAAAGCAGAACCGAAATCTTAAGATACAAATTAAACAAATTTGAGCATAGGGATATGTGGAGGGGGGGGGGATAAATTTGCAATAAATAAAAGGCTAACTGAGCACACATACAGAGGTCAGGGCCGTAACTAGCTCAGAGCAACGAGGGGGGCGGGAAGTGTTCCCGGGGCTGTAATATTGACGGATAATGTATATCTATTTTTTTTATTGTCGAAAATTTTTTCACGGGGGGGGGGGGGGGCGAACGTTTTTCAGCCCCCCCCCCCCTTACGGGCCTGAAAGAGGTACGTCCATTTTGCATCAAAACACACCCAGACCAGCTTTGGTTGCAAAACAGTTTTTATTTCACAGAATCAAGGGATGAATAAACTACAATAAACTACTGTGACTGCAAAATTCCTGGGGCCTCCTATGCTGGCTTTTCGAGATATATTACCGTGCTCACTGCGTACACAATAACTTCTAAACTAGCTTTGCTGGCCCCAAGATCTTTATTTCACTAACTCGACAGACGCAGAAGGCATGAACATGCCAAATTTCATAAACTTTCTATGTTGACTTTCAGGTTATATCATCGCAAAGTTCCTAGCACCGTATTCGAGGCGAGGATCATGAGTTCAATAAACAAAGGGTACGTCCACGCTGCATCACAAAGCACCCAAACCAGATGGTAGCAACATCTTTTTGGTTTTACAGAATCAAGGGATGAATAAACTACTAGACTGCAAAATTGCAGTAGCCTCCTATGCTGGATTTTTGAGATATAATACCGTAAACATACTAAAAATATGGGTGAATCGGGCTAGGGTAGGCTAAGTGCGCACACCATAACTTCTAAACTAGCTTTGGTGGCACCAAGATCTTTATTTCGCCAACTCGACAGATGCATAAGGTATGAACATGCCAAATTTCATTAACTTTCTATGTTGACTATCGATCAGGTTATATCATCACTAAGTTCCTAGCACCCGGATTCGGGGTGAGGTTCGTGGGCTCACTAAACAAAGGGTATGCCCACGCTGCATCCAAAAGCGCCCAGACCAGCTTTGGTGGCACAGTGTTTTATATTTCAGAGTCAAGGGTTGGATAAACTACTAGACTGCAAAATTACAGTAGCCTCCTATGCTGGCTTTTTGGGATATATTACCGTAAACATACTACAATATGGGGGAATCGGGTTAGGGTAGGCTCACTACGCACACAATAACTTTTAAACTCGATTTGGTCGCTCCGAGATTTTTATTTCACAAAATCGACAGATGCATAAAGTTTGAACATGCTAAGGTTGCCGCGATACCCTGGGGATGGCGATATATCGCGATAATATGGTCAGGCAATAAAATTATCGTCTGAAATTTCAAATATCGCTTTATCACGATAATTCTAAAAAATATCGCGATATTTTCATTTTTTATCCGTTCAAAATACTCAAATAAAGAAGAAATTAAATTGTAACAAGTGCCGATACTAGATCTATTCCATTTTCCAAATTCCACAACAGACTTTGAGACAGCCCTTTTTAACGCAAAGGACCAACTAAGAACTGACCGACATTAGTCTTATGCATCAAGTACATTTCACTGAATAATATTAATCGTTATCATACACGTATTGGCTACGCTTTAATATAGTCTGGTCCCATACCCCCACGGAGAAAGCATCCTTAATACTTATAATTATGATTGATATTATAACGGTGATACTCCTACTCGGAATGATACAGTTAAACTGCATGCAATAATATACGTCGCCATAGTAACGAAGAGGTGCTTTATCGTTGATTACCCAGTCCGTCAAAAATTACATTGATAATTTACATTGAAACATCGTCTGGATAATATTTCTTTTATTCTTTTAATAAAATCGTTTCCGAGCTTGAATCTGTCAATGTCAATCGGAATAATTCTGATGACAGTTCGGCAGACTGCTAAAACACACTACTGACACGAAAAAGAGAATTTCTTCTGTCACTCATATGGAGCTATTTTAGTTTAAAAAGAACATCTGCCAAGTCTGTTAACCAGATATTGAGTTAATGGATATTTATTCGGTATTCCGGGCATTCCAGCTGATCAGAATAGAATGATCTGATGACGATACCTAGGCCTACAGGAATAATCTTACCCCAGCATATATACGAATGTATATACGTCTCACTTCATCAGTGCATCTCACATAGCCTACATTGCTAAATACCAAATGGATGCATTAGATACGTTAATCCATTAAGACCTCAAGTTATATCAATTTTATATCAGTAATTATCACGATCTTGAATTTTTTAAGCACGGTCCATGATATCGCGATAATTTATTTTACCAATATCGTGAGATATCGCGATATTTTTTTCTGTATCGTTGCAACGCCAACATGCCGAATTTCATTACCTCTCTATGCTGGCGTTTCGAGTTATATTACTTATATCATGCTGGCGTTTCGAGTTATATTACTTATATCATCGCAAAGTTCCTATCCTAGCACCCGGATTCGAGGCCAGGTTCGTGGGTTCAATAATTATAAACAAAGGTTACGCTCACGTTGCATCTCAAAGCACCCAAACCAGCTTTGCATTAATATGTCTTAAGGAGCTAAATCGCTAATATTTGGGACCTAGAAATTGACCTAAATGGGTCGAAACAAATATAATAATGTAATCTGATTGTATATAAACTGATTTACATTCAATTGTTTCCGTTTTGACTCTTAATTTCAAATCAGTTATGTCCAGCGAAATACGGCCTTTGTCTCAGCCCTATAGCAATTTATAGCGTCTGGTTATTCCGGTCTATTGAGCAGGCTCTCCAGTTGAATATGTCTAGCCTCGTTCTTTCTGGTCACTTGTTGCAAATGACGCTAAAACGCACTATGCTACTTTAAGTTCAAATATGTTGTTTTTTTTCTTATATAAACGTAACAATTATTTTCGTGATAATTATAATATGTAAGTTTTTATTGGCGCTAGGAATATGTTTGCTAACTTCATTTCGAATCCGTTTGCTGGAATACGAGTGAGACTGAGGGGGTACTCGATTGAACGTTCCGGAATTGAATTCTCTCAATCCCAAAAATAGTGACAATCGAGTGAAAAGGTGGATTTCGGGCTACAACTCATGCGTCGACTGAATAAGTAAATATCTCAACCAACCATGCAGCCGATACCTTTTAATTACGTTACGATTCTACTCACACCACCTCCGTTATCGGGACTGACAGAACTGTGACAGAACTGAATTCCGCGTAACTCCATTGCAATTCTGTCAATTCGGGACGTTCTGGACTGTGAATCGAGCATCCCCTGAGATTCCGCTCGCTCATTTCACATTTTGCGATTGACGTGGAGACACAACAGGTGCCCTGCTGAAGCTTTGCCAGAAAATTATGAATAGAAATAATGTTTAACTTGTCTGTTCTCCACCAGATTCACTTTTGTTTTAATAAAAAAAAAAGATCATATACCATACTATCCACGAGATAAACATTTTTAATTCAAATTAAGGTCGCCAGGTTACCATGGTAAATCAAAACAACGTTTACCGGATATTGAACAGGAAATGTGTTGTACGCATGTACCGTAGCGAACTGTGGGATTGAATTCCGTCTGCACTGACAGAAAGATATTTACTGAAATAAAAACAAGGCATGACGAGATATATTCTACGAACTTAAAGTACGTTAATTTGTGTTGGACCTGTCGAAGAGAATAAACTTTAGGCATGGATCCTAAAATCGCGAAGAAAACCCAAGATACTTTGGGTAAAATAATCAAGAAACCACCACTGACAGACAAATTGTTGTCAAAACCACCATTCAGATTTTTACATGACATAACAACTTCAGTAAGTATTTTTCTTATTCTTGATAGGCCCTAATGACTGCTACATTTATGGATAAAATCCTCAGTGACAAAGTAATCTGTTTCACCACAGCGATAATGGGAAAGCTTTCTAATTTCTTTTTAATTAACTCTTCTCGACTTCTGTTGAAGATGACTGTTTTCAAGGGAGTAAGGTCTACGATTGATGTCACATCATACCACCGCGATAGCATGTGTGTTGCTTACATCAGACCTAGTAATTAACACAAACTGATCCAGGCAGAATTGGTGCTTTATATTTATAGTAATTAATTTATACTCATTTTACGCCTTCATGGACATGTACTATTTTATGTGCCCATTTACACGAAATAGGAAATATTTCTTCATCTAGACCTAGAGATATATTTCCAAGACATTTTTTTTTCTTAATGATTTAAAAAAAGTTAATATTGAGAGCTAATTTAGTCTCCCCAATGTCATCACTTTCAGTGTTAAGAGTAGTGGCCAAGCGAATAATTACGGCTGATCAGTTTGAATTAGCGGCTGCTCTTTTGGTTTCACTTTTAGTCAGCAGTCATTTAAATGACACTGCACTGCACAGAAACGCTGTCTTTTTAAAATATATCTGCCTACGTTGGTGAAATACCAATATTGGTGGTTGGCTGCCAGGGTGGAAGCGGTAATAAAAATACCAGATTTATATCATTTTTTAAACCTTTAAAAGTTCATACTTGTACATATATGTAGGGTTTCGATAATTTTCTCATCGCTGTTAGTACCTAAAACCTGGTGGCCATTTTTTATATGTCAGTTAATTTATCTGACTATTCTCAAAGATGTTATGACTTGAATAATATTAAGTCACACAGGTAAGTAGGCCTACCGGTAACGAATATACACAGGAACACTCAAAATGTTGTTGTTATTCCTCTGTAGCCCCTTTTGTGATTCATGAAACCTCATCATCATACATGTGTCAGGCCTTCACGTAAAAGGAGCGTGATCGCTCTCGCTCTCCTGGACGCGCCTGGATGTCAGTCGAGGTGCGCTTTTTATAGCTCTCCTCAATGTCTAATTTGACTCCCCTGAAAGAAAATAATCAGGAAAAATATACTGGTAATATCATATCGACAATCAACTTGCTTGTCGGCTACAATAACAGCATACCTTAGTGAGAATCCGCCATCCGTTTCATAATCCGAGTAATTAGCACATTTAACGGTAATTTTGATAATTCGGCAAAAATAACCCCAACAAGCCTGCTGGTTATTCATAACAGGTCCACTAAGTTTCCTTTGTAATAATAAACCACGTGGCGAAGGAAGACATCTCGCTCCGCATGGATTGTGAATCTCGTGCTTCGCACCCGGTCTTCGACTCTCGATCCGTACAAATTCTAGGTAGATATGAAAATAATAACTGGATAATGCATTTTATGGTTTCACTGACCCGTTGTTAGTTAAATTTAAATATTCATTGAATAATCCCTGATAGAACACCGGATATCCCGAGAAACAAATATTAATAACTAATATATTTTTCCGTCAAGATCTTCAATGCTTTCAGATTCCCGATAACATGTGACATGCATTGGTTGGAATTAGGTCAATAAACCAGCATTGCAAGATTTATTTTTAAATAGTGTTTTAGTTTTATTCAATTTTATTTTTTACACATGCTGACAGGGATTTATTCTTAAAAATATTGCCCTTTTTATTTAAGGCCATGGCATAGTCGTACAGAATTTTATTTTATATAAAGCAATTTCAATCATGGGAGTCATGTGATCATTGTGTGGCTTGTCTTTCATCCACGAATGAAAAAAATATTGTAAGTTACGTGATAGACAAAAACATTAATTTGTGTTTTAAATATGAAGAAATGTCATGCTGTCGCATCAGCTCATTTTCGCCGTAGTAGATAAATCCTAATTTCGATCGACTGATGATAAACGAAGACAGTAGTCTATTCAGGAATATTACTGACTTGAACTTGTTGAAGTCAGATATTAAAGTTAATGGGAGCTTCGAATTACCCTGTTTCTTACCGGGACCTCACTTGACCCAATTCTGGCCGGTTGGTTTCGAAATGGATTAAAATCTCTGGACTTTATCACAAATGCTAACAAAGCTCTCCTCAAGAGATTCAGGAGAGCTTTCTCAGGAGAGCGATTTCCTCTTTTTTCAATTTCAGGAGAGCTTTTTTTGACTCCCCAGGAATTTATTCACGTGAAGGCCTGATGTGTAAAAATGTTTATCGGAATTTGATCTGATTAAAACATAGATCGTATTTCGTTTAGTTTTTATAGTTCAAAATTTCGTTCTACTTGTCCTTACTACACTAGGATCTGGAAGAGTTGTTATCATTGACGTGTTCTGAATGGTGTGAGGTCTTAGGCAATGAAACGGTCTGTTACGACGAGCTTTAGGCATGGTTTGCATGGAACTGTGGATAATCCACTAGTAACATCAATGTTGATTGGTTAATCAAACGTCTGACGCCATAGGATCAAAAGCCACTCTGACGCGACCTATGGTTACAACGTGTCAGATCTTCATGTAGTGTAGTCCATCATAAGTATAAAAAAACGAAACTAAATACAGTAGAATCTGCATTAAGCAGCCACCCAAGGGAATTTTCACAACTGACCGCTTAACGGGAGTGGCCTCTTAATAAAATCTCGTTGCTTTTTGTGCTGACATAAATTACATACATGTATTATGCTTGGATGCATTGGAAGCGGTAAATTTGACCGTCGCTGAATCTTTACTCAAATCTCGGACATAACTTAACTGGAGTGGCCTCTTAATAAAATCTTGTGGCTTTTTGTGCTGACATAAATTAAATATTACACTTGATTGCATTGGAAGCGGTAAATTTGACCGTCGCTGAATCTTTACTCAAATCTCGGACATAACTTAACTGGAGTGGCCTCTTAATAAAATCTTGTGGCTTTTTGTGCTGACATAAATTAAATATTACGCTTGATTGCATTGGAAGCGGTAAATTTGACCGTCACTCAATCTTGCGCCAAATGAAAATTCTTTACTCAAAACTCGGACATAACTTCTGTAAACTTGTCATTTTGTACCAACCTTCAATACTACTGTCTACCATTGTGATGCATTCGATAATATTTATCCATTTTTGTGAAGAAAATTGATGAATTCATTTTATTATATAAAAAAAGCACACGAAAAAAAAAAAACATTGCTAATTTTATCACCTATTTACAGGGGGTGTAACTCTGTATGTAATATTATAGGAGGCGCTAAAATGTCTGTTTACCATTAAAGAGATACTAGATGATCGTGACAAAACTCGGTACTTTTATTTTATTCAATCAGTATCAAATAATGTGTCGTTACGCGTGAAAACAATGATCAGGTTAGTCGTTTAATAAAACAAAAGATTAATTAACAGATAATCCCAGGTTGATTGTTATTTTTACATTTCTTTTTACCTGATCAGTGGGGGTCCAGTTAATTAACTACTACTCACGGGATTAGCGGGGGTGTTACAAAGAACGACAAGATGGTATCATTCAACAATGACCGTTGAATGGGCGATGTTTTGTTGAATTTATTAGTAAAATAGAGACCACTGGCCGCGTTAGAGGAGTGGCCGTTGAATAAAGAGATGAAACAACAGAATTTCTACGGGGGGAATTTATCGTGACTGTTTACAAAGAGATGTCGCTGAATAGGAGTGGCTGCTCATATAGATTCTACTGTATAGATCTGTATTTTAATCAGACTGATCAGAATTGTTTCTGTCAATTATTTCAGGTTGTAAAATCTACTGGCTTTATGAAAGGCTTACATGAGGAAAGTGAATTGAATTCAGAAAATGTTAAAGTGAGTAACAAACTTTAGTGGAATTCCTAATAGTTGAGAAGATCTGAAAATTCCATCATATAATTTTAACAAATAATCATTGAAACAAGCATGTGTGAAATGTTGAATCCATCAAAACACACACAAATAGTAATCAACATCTGATTTTAAACTATTCTGCTATTTGCGTTACTGGAAATGAAAAAAATCTTTGTCCCATCAAGGAGCAGAAAGAAACTGCTCATTTCAGTAACAGACTTGGGGGGTGGATGCCGATGGCCGAATGGTTAGCACGTGCGCGCTATACCATAAGGTCTGTCATTGACTCTTGAGTCTGCAACTGGCGTGGTTTTTATTCCCTGGTTGTACGTGACAAGGAGTAAGGTTGCCTGTCCATCCTCATGGGTTTTCTGTGGATCCTCCGGTTTCCTTCCACTGCTAAAAGACCCCTACGTGCAAGCGAATTATTGAAATAAAATTGAACCATGTGTTAGTCCCAAAGTTTGTGTCGAGTGGACGTTATAAACTCCAATTCTCTCTCTTTCTCTGTGTTAAAATCAACAGAGTTGACATGTGCTTTATTCACTTACATTCATTTCTAAAGATGCTTATGTTATACATGTAGTACAGAAATAAATGTGATGAAATGCAAACTAGATTTTGTCTTACTAACAATTAATTAAATTTTTTGAAAACTATTTGTTTTTGTCTTTTCAGGATAAAGACAGTAAAATTGCATTTTTACAAAAAGTTATTGATTTTGTTTGTAAGTAATAAAAGTTATAGCTATCAAATTTTTCATGACTTTCTACTGATCTTGTGCTATCATCGTTTTATTTCTGGAAACGATAATCGATTTATGTCCACAAACTCTGATGTACTGACGACCTACATTTTTTTCTTTTCATCATCTATATTTCTTTCTTAAAAATAAACATAAGTCCTTATTTTTGTTGGATTTAAATAAAAGAAATTATCACTGGCCTTTTGTCATAATTATGAATGCTATACATTTATTTGTCACTCTGTCTATAAAAACTTACATTCCTAATCCCTAATCCATTTTTTCCAAACTTTTGATGAAATTAAATGTTTTTTTTTTTAATTCCAGCTCTGGTAACTGGCAAATCATTGTCGGCTAAACCTGCTAAAATAGTTGCTGGTCATGAACCAGAGAAAACGAATGAACTGCTTCAAGCCATAGCGCAAGCCATCAATAAACAGGTAATGAAATTGTTATTAAGTGCTAACAGGAGTGTGTCATGACAAATAATTATTGTAGGAATTATGAAATGAAGAAGGGGAATCTAAAAACAGCTTTGTACTAATTAAAAGTTAGTATCTACAAACTGACATACAGTAACTTCAGTCGTATTGTTTACATTTACCTGTAAAAGGTTTCACCCAAGAGGTCTAGCGCCTTACATTATCAGATAATCTAGCATAATGATGCAACACTTTGCTATAAAAAATGCATTTTCTCAGTGATTGCTGAAAAGAATTACTCATTTCAAAATGCATTAGAAGTTGGAATGTAAAGAGAATTTAGGGAAATAACACAAAATAATTTGACTGTATTGTTTCCCCCTTAAAAGCATCACGATTTTAAGTTCTTTTCTGTGTTTTGTTGTGCTGTGTTTTTGAATTGTGAATGCCATAAAAGAAAAATAACTAAAACAATTATGAATAATATTCAATTCATAGTTTACTTATAAAAGAAATTTTTTTGATTGTCAAAAATAGGTCATGCATAAATCCAGATTGTTTTTAGCAACTTTGTCAGTACAAAGTCTCAAATATAAATATATATTCATAAACCCATACAATACACCAGTATTATTAAATACATTGGTAGTTATTATTGATAGTGTTATATAAGAGTCTTGGTCTTTATTCTATTATTAAATACCTTCAACAACATGTTATTATATTAGAAGCAAAATAGTAATACCGGTACTAATACTTTGGCTATAAATTATTTAGTAATTTTATAAATAATTATATAAGGAGATGATAATCTACATGTTATATTAATTAATGTCAGCATATTGTGATGAATGCTTTATTATAAGTTTGTTTTGTGTTCCATATGTAGTTGATCATTAAATTCATTAGTAAGACTTCTTTTTTAAAAAAAAAAAAAAAAAAAAAATAGCAATTTTTAGCTAATAACTATATTATGTGTTTTTAATAAACATCTATAAATTTAACTTAAGCTGTTTTTTATTTATGAGTTTAAAATCTTTGAAATAACTAACAAAACCCCAGAATGCCTCATTCGGCATTTTTGTCCAAGTGTGGCAAAAACATGTTAACATTTATGCCACAATTTTGCCGAGTTGTAACGTCGTAAAAACAAAATGCCACTTTTGTCTGGAGTTCCAAAACGTATTTTTTTTTAAATTGAAATGTTTTTGGAACGAGGTATTTTGTTCAGAACGAGGCTGTTCACAAGGATGGATACATGATTTTTTAAAAGGGTTTGGGGTGGGGTTCAGCCAAACCAAAGTCTCGTTGAACGTATCAAGGGCAGCATAATATTATTTGGTGACACTTTCAAGCAATTGTGTAGAGAAAAAAAAACACAAGGCAAAGTCTTGACTAGAAATGACATTTGTTGCATAAAAAGAGTTTGTTACATTCTTTGTTGCAGTTTCATATGTTCACACAATATTTCCAACAAAGAGATGTGAAAAATGAAAAACAGCCAAGTTCAAAGCGGAGCGAAATCAATAATTGTATTTTAGGTCTTTGAAAATTATTAATTACAAATACATGTATGCTGTTCCTGTTTTTATATAATAAACGATAATATTTCATGAAATTTTATGCAATTGGCACTCAGTTGGATGTATAAAAATTGCAAAAGCAGTATCTAAACGGCCAATAAAATTCCATCAAAACATGAAATAGACACAATTTATGTTTATATAATGACATGCAAAGTGAACAACTTTATTAAGAATGCTAATTACATTTTCAGCCTTCGGGTGACCAGTCTACGTCTGCATTCTTATTTAAAGGGTCGATCTGGACTATACTTTGGAGAATAAAACTGCTTAATTTTGTGTTAAAGCCCTTAAAATCTTCGACATTTGGGCCGAGCAACCAACTCAATATACATGATACGTTTTGATCTTAAAACCGTCGTTTATTATATAAAACAGGAACCGCATATCTGTAATTAATAATGTTCAAAGACCTAAATTTAAAATACAATTATTGAGTTCGCTCAACTTTGAATGTGGCTGCTTTCATTTCTCACATCTCATTGTTGAAAATATTGTGGGGACATATGAAACTGCAACAAAGAATGTAACAAACTCTTTTTATGCAACGAATGTCATTTCTAGTCAAGACTTTGCCTTGTGTTTTTTTTTCTCTACACATACCCTTTGAAAAATCATGTATCCAACCTTGTGAACAGTCTCGGTCTAGACAAAATACCACGTCCCAAGAACATGGCATTTTAAAAAAAAAATCGTTTTGGAACTCCAGACAAACGTGGCATTTTGTTTTTACCACGTTACAATGTGGCAAAATGGACAAAAATGCCGAACGAGGCATTCTGAGGTTTATAGTGTAATTATTGGCATGAAAATAAAGTCTGAAATTCTCCCGCCACTCAGTTCCACTGTAAGTCAGTCAAAACTGGTAAATATTTGACTAATACTAAAACCCCGTCTATAATCTCCCTGCACAAACACAGAAATATGATACAAAAACATGTTACATTCCATGGGTAGACTTTTGAAACTGTGAACACTGCTGAATTTCAGACAATTTGTGTATATATGTAGCTAATATAAGAACAAGGATTGTTTCACTTGTTAAATATCTTACTTTCAGGATAAGTTTGTTTTATTAGTTGAAAAAAGCAATTAAAGGACAATTAAAATGGGTTCATCCTTCTGTGGATGTAATATTTCAAAAGTTCAATAAGGGGCATTTTCTACTCCGGTTTGATTCGAGTGATTTTAATTTATAAAAATGTTGAATATGCAAGAAGTTAATGAGTGCCATTTATTTATATGGGATTAGTGGTGGTGGTGGGGGGGCACATTAGCCCTACATTTGGCCTGCTGATATCGCATTACTTTTTACTAGATTATCTGAAGAAAATAATTAGTTTGTTTCCCTGTCTACAGGTTGATAATGATGAGTATATTAAGAAATTTGGTAATAAAGATATCAAGGGTGAAGAAAAGAAGGATAAAGAAAAAGATAGATCAGAACGAAAGAAGAAAGATGAGGTATATTAGATTAGATCATATAGTGCTACATGAAATATTAATGGAGATATCCTAGTTCTATTTCTGTGAATACAACTGATTAATTAGAAGCCTTTATTCTATGCTCTGTGGTATGAAAAACTAGCAATGTCCAGTTGTCCGGTAGCTTATAGCTTCGTAATGACAGTCTATGTCTGAATAATCGTGTCTATAGCTGAGACAACTTAGGTTATACTTTCGGGGTAAGAGAGTATTGCTTGCAGGTTATTGTTGTGTTTTAATTACACCCAGGCAAAGTTAGCAAATGATATCAAATTGTGACATTCATCAGGTCACTAAAAGGATGAGGCTAGCACCCCAAAGGAGTCAGGTAAACTGAAGGTAAATTAGCTTTTACTTAACACTTTGGCATTTGATTTCCATGCTTGAATAAACTTTTTATCAGAGATCTTGTGAAAACTTTATGATGCTTCGATTGGTATGTGGTTAAGTTTAGCTCAGAGGAGACAGCAATATTACACTCTTACTAGTGTGTGCTATAGACTGGATGGGAAAATGGAGTGCTTAGAGTTTGAGCAATCTCTGAATTTGCAAATGGATGACCAATATCTGTTTTTATTACTAGATTGTAGAATTATTTTGTGGGTGTTTGCTGATTTGTTTTCTAGGATAAAGAAGAAAGACGTAAAGATAGAGATGGGGAGGGGAAAAAACACAGAGAGAAAAGCCGCGACCGTGAGAGAAGCAAAGATCGAGATGGAGAGAGGAGGGAGAAAGATAGAGATGGAGAAAGGAGGGAGAAGGATAGAGATGGTGAAAGAAGTAAAGATCGGGATTCTGAGAAACGCGATAAAAGTAAACATCGAAGTGACAAAGAACGAGGACATAAAGATCGAGAAAAGGGTGAAAGAAACAAAGATGATGACAAAGACGAGGAGAGAAGGGAAAGGCACAAAGATAGAAAATCAAAAAAGGTTAGTTTTTTTAAAATAATTTAGTAGTTAAAAAGATCAGTGGATATAATTGAAAAGAAATAATGCCATAAATCAAAGACAACTGTAATCTTTTATTGGAAACTATTTTAAAGATAAAATGATATCAAAAGTTTACATCAGTATATGTGGAAATGTTTATTTCAATTTGGCCTATTTACCTGATAAATGTTCAATTTGTCTGTGAATACCATTAGATTGTAAATTTGATACATATAGCAAATGGAATCAAGTAACTCAGAAGAAAATTATGATGAGTCAGAGGATTCAGATAGTTCATTCCTAGCAGCATCCACGACATCCAATATACGTAGACGTACTGACAGACCTGGAGCTGCCAGGTACAGGAATGAGATAAAACAGAACCGTGGGTCATTAGACAACAGTCCAACGTTCAACTCAACAGAAGGAGAAGTAACTCCAAATAAGAGGAAGGTATCGGATGCAAAGCGTAAAATTGGAACAAAAAGTCGACTTGGTGTGAGGACAGTTTCATCAACAGAGACATCACCAGAAAAAGACTCTCAAGAACCTAATGATGATAAAAGGTTAATTGGTACAAAGAGTCGTCTGGGTCTACGAGGTTTGGGTACTGATGATTTAGGTGAAGCTGATGTGCATATGTCTAGTTCTCCTGATGTTAAGATTACCTCGAAATCTAAAAGGAAACCAAAGGATGATAGAGATACAGCTAACATAGCTAGGGGAAAATATTCGGAAATGAAGAGGAAATTAACAAAGAAGAAAGGTCGTGGCCAGGTGAAGAAACAACAGCGAACTAGTAGTTTCACCATCCTATCAAAGTTTAGCGGCTGGGTGACTGAACTAACTGTTTTTGTTCATTATTAGAATTTAAATTTTTGTTGATTCTGGTTTGGAGCCGTTGATTGACTGTTTTCTGTTCTTTTTTCATATAAATCGCCATATTTAATTTTGAGTGTTTTGGTTACACTTTGGATATTCAAAGTATGTTGGTTTCAGCAATTGGTAATTTCTCAACAATTTAAACTTGTCTGTTTATTTTATTTTTCATGTATATTTGTTTCATACGATTTTAACCTGTTTTTGCGCAATGGGTATAATGAACAACTCAAAGAGCTTATATTGTCACTTGCATGCATCCAGTATGAACAATCAAATTTTTCTGGATCAGTTCCAAAACTATTTCATATATAGGTAAATGTAGGTGATTGGTGTTAAATGTATTAGTGATATTCGTATTCAAGTACAGTAATCTGATTCCTAGTTTCATTTGAGAATACAAATACTTCATGTGTTAAACCTATATAGTTATAGCAACATTTTTTTTTCTGTCTATTCATGTCTATTCACATTAACGTTAAATCATTACTTAGTGAAGAGCATCTTGTTGAGCATATAAATGTGTAAGATTTTAAATCAGATGATTTATCTCTTATTTTGAAATTAAAGTCTCTATACATGTATGTGTTTAGGGTTTGTGTGATATTATGGTCTCTTATTTGTAAATGCAGAGAGAAGATGAAGAGGAAGGCAAAGAAAATGAATCTCCAGAAGTCAATGGTGAAAAGGTAAGATACTTGTTCATACAAGGTTGCCAAAAAAAAAGATTGCACAGTTGAGCAACCGTGCAATACTCAATGAAGCCATCCCTAAACTTTTATCTTGTAGTGTTGTAGACAGTATAAATTGACTTAAGAGCACTATACTTATGTCACGTACATTTAATTATTTGTTTCTAAATGCAAGAATTAAGCACGGAAACACCCTGAAAAGATGCTATTTGCACTGTTTACATTTTACTCTTTCCTAAGCTACAGTTACTCACACATTTTGATTTTGGAAGTAGCCAATTTTATAAAAATAAATTTCACACCATCTACGCTTGTTTTCATCTGCTTGACACTAGTTAATAGCATTATGAAGTATTATATCTAAATAAATTAACACGCACCCCTAAGTCATCTGAAATAATCTGAAATAATTCTTCCATAACGACACTACAGTAAATATAGTGGTGGCTGCAATGGAAATGCATCCGGCTCGTTGCTTGGTGTATTTAATCATTTAAAAAGTTTAAAACAATTTCCATAAATAAAGGCTATTAATAATTTATAAGAAAATTTGAAAAAATCAAATATTTCATATCCAAATATAATTTGTAACATAAATATAGACAGCATATGTAAATAAGGTGCCATGCACAGATGTGAATCGTGTTTTGATATTCAATTTATTACGGATATTTAAGAATCTGAATTCTACACCTCAACAGCAAAGCATTCATTTTAGCACGCAAGTTTGGTACCATGATACTTGGCTTAATTCACGTGGATACGGAATGGATGATAGAATTGCATGAATCTTTAAGTCGCTTTGCTAAAGCAGTTTCGCGGACGTTCAAGAATTTTTAAGCATTCCGATGTCGAAGAAAAAAAAAGGTTTCATATTACAATATTTTTATGGAGCAATGTACGTAAAGAGTTGACAATTAAAGAGTGTTTGTGTACCTACACGTATGGATATGTGTGATGTGATTGGTCTTTGATAATTGAGTGACAGGTTAGTTACTGAAGCGACAGGTAGCTTTTCTTCATAACTTGCGACATGATGCTAATGATGCCTAGGCTAGATATTACTTCTCTCACATTCTTGACTTTTATATAACCTGAGGGAATTAATTATCTTTATTACAATATTTATTCTCCAGCCTAATGAAGTATATTTTGTGTTCTGTTATTTTTTTAGGATGGTAGAATTCCAAGACCGACATCTGCAAAAGGATCACGAAGGAGAAGGGGAGGTAAGCTCTAATTTGCTTGTTTTTTATATCTTTAGTGAGAATATATATATTGAAATTTTTTTTAAATTGATAAATTTGGTAGGATGTTTCAGCCATCATGAAATTTAATTGTGCTTTGTTTACTGGAAAATTTAATGTATTAGAAGTTTTGCAATGAAGAAAATATAGCATTAGTTTTGAATTTTGCTTGTGTGAATCAATAGATGAATGGAGTTTTATATCATTAATAGGCTTAATTTGTGCATTAAATGAAGGAAAACTAAAATCACTAATTTTGAATGCTTGAGTGAATTAAAGGCACCAAATAATCATAACAAAAGCGATGACTGACTTAAACATACATTATGCAAGAGCTAAATCTGTCTATTGCAGGTCTTTCTTTAGGCCTGAAATGTTATCTAAATTATTATTTAGACATTAATTAACCTATCCAGACCATAATCAACTCTAGATGGCATCGCTAGCCTGCGATCTTTAGTGGATTATGAGCCGATTTACTGCATAACTTTCCTTCACGATTAAATGGATAATCAAGACTATGCTGTTTATCGTACTGACTGTAGTAATGATGATTGAGGCTAGGCAGAAATTTCAATCGCTTAGTTCTCGGTTCATAGTGGATCAATTTGAATGAAATTTTCAGCAAATTGCCTTTGCATTATCTAGTTTTTAACTATTATAGTGAGAACTGCCAACTCGTTTTCTAATCTCCCATAATGTATCTTTAATTAATGCATGCATGTGTGACAAGATAAATAAGTAGTGAATACACTATAGATGTTTTATTTGTTATTGTGGGATGTTTATTTTAAACTAACAGGTAGAGTTAGAGACAGTGATGATGAAGGTATATCATAATAGAAAGTAGTATTTGTATTGTAGAATGTTTATTAATTTTGTATATTTATTAGTAGTCTTTAAATTCTCTACATTTTAAGCTGTAATTAATATCTTACTTATACATCCAAGTTTGATCTTTAATATATTTCACTCTCAAAGCACTAATATTTGGGACCTAGATATTGGATTAAAACCAATTTCAAAACACTTTACGAATTCGAAATCACCGATTTTTACGAACGAACAAACCTAACTTTGTTGGTTTTTTACCTAATTTTACTGATTCTTTTTTCTTTGAGTATCTTGACGATAATGCAGGATGGAGGGCCTGACAAGGACGCTGTCGTTCGGATGGGACGAAAACCGAGGTCCGTGTACACATTGGCGTACACATTCCTCATAGCACAGTGTATGGCATATGCCTGTCTTCATTAGCCCAGTATAGGAGCAGAACAGTAGGACGTTAAACCCCATTCCATTTCATATCACCTTGACGAAATTCATTTTCACTTGCAGTTTCAGATTTTCAAATTTCGGAAATTCATCGCTGTGATTTTGTCCCGGAAGTCGAGACCAACTTGAGAACTTCTTTAATATCTGCACGATTTTCATGAAATTTGGAATGTATGTAGATCTTACTGATGCGACTTGATTGAAAGATGTCATGAGAAATTTCCTAACTTCTCTCACCTCCCCTTGGAGAAATTAAGGATTAAAATTTTCAAAAAATTTACAAACTATAGGTCAGATTGCCTTGAAATTTTTTTTCTGTACTAAGACATTACTGATTCATACACAACAAAATAAGACGTCTATCGATCGAACCGAAAGTGTCACCTTCCTGAAACGTAAAAAATCCTTAAGGCTTTTGCGATATTTTACTGACAGACATGGGAGTTACATTTTCTGAATCCTTGAAGGAATGCCTAAAAAAAGTTCACAGCAGAATTTAGATTTAGGTCAATTGATTGTCGCCATTTTGAATTGAATATGAAAAATAGTGAAGAATTTACATTAATGGGCTTTTAAATAAACACAAGAGGATGTAGTTTGTTGAATTCGTCTCCTATTTCTGAAATTAATACATTTATGGATAGCTGGGCTCAAGGTCAAATTTTTGATTCCCACTTTGACATTTTTCGTTCTGACAAAGTTGTTTGCGAGTGAAAAATCTGCATTAACGGCTTAAAAATATTCGGAATAGGCCGTAGTTTCGTGAATTTGTCTATTTCCAAAATTAATACATTTCTGGTTGGCCTCCTTCCACGAATGGGAGATGGCTTTGGAATACTTGGATTTTTCAATCCAAAATCATCAAATTTTACTGACAAAAACAGTTGACCTACATAACTGTAAAAAGTAGGTCAGATTGCCATGATAAGTTATTTCTGTACTAGCTAAGACTCTACTGATGCTACACATAATATGGAGTTTGTTTATCGAACCAAAAGTTCCATCTTGAAATGTGAAAAATCCCTAAGGCTTTTGCGATATTTTACTTACAGACATGGAATTACATTATCTGAATCCTTAAGGGAATGCATAAAAAACGTGCTGTAGTTTGGAGAATTTGTTTCCTATTTCCAAAATGAGTACATTTCCGGATAACTAAGATCAGGGTCAAATTTTTGGAATTTTAAAATTTCGAATTTCACCTTTGACCTTTTTCGCGCCAACAAAGTTCTTTACAGGACAATTTATTTCCTTAATTTTCAAAATTTACAAATTTGGAATGCATATTCGAATAGCTGAGGACAATCAGATTCCAAAAATATAAATTTCATTCAAAGTTATCTAACTTAAGTTTTCCAATACAAGTCTCAGTTATTTCCCTTTATTTTTTCAGATTATTTTTTCGCCCGGGTGAAATGTTTCTTGCTATATTTAGGCTTATGACTTCAAGAGTTTTTGACATGTGAAATGAAGTGACTGTGAATATGAAAGCTTTCATATCTGTCTAGCAGATCTAGTTATTATTGTAATATAAGTGGAAAAGTTTTAGGTTACTATGTCCCTTGGTGAACATATAGTTTAAGATGTAATTTAAAGAGCTGATATCAATTCAACTTCAGAATAAATTTACAAGCATATTTTGGGTCTAAATTCCAATCATATATTATAGGGCTAAATTCCAAGTCAGTTTGGAAGCAAAATTATAATCATAATTGGGAGGCTAAAATTACTATCATGTGGGGGCTAAATTAAAATCAAATGTCAGTTTTGTTTTGTTTTATTTTTGATGTTGTAGTACCTTGACATCTGACATAATATGTTCTTTGAAGTTGGTGTTCAGAACACTTAGACCGCTATTGATTTTTAGTTCTACACTTAAGGGTAAATAATGGAAATTTTAAAACCCTAGAAACTTTTCTTGGCAGAAGTGACAAGGAGTAACAAAAAGTAACTCAGATGTCCAGTGTGTTGAGTTGCAGTAGCACAAAGAAGACCTAATTTTCTTGCTTTTATTATCGTCATTCTTGTTAGCTTTTCATTTATAACAACTGTCCATGTAAAAAAAGAATATTTTCTCTTAAAGTTACTAAATGTATGTTATTTTTATTCTATCTGATCTTTTTAACTTCTTTTTGGTACTTTCTTTATTGTAATTCTCATTCTTTCTGATCTTTACAAATTCTTTTTGGTACTTTCTTTATTCTAAAAACTAACAAGTATGATAATACTTCATGGTTCAGGAACCAAGCATGATGTCACTGCCATCATCTTGGAATTGTGACGTCAAAGAAAAAATCCATTGCGCATTTGTCATAGTCAAGTTTATGTCGATCGTACTTGAATAAACAGAGCCTTAAACCTTTTTCAAAGAGTGTCAATCTCAAGAAAAACAACAAGATGAGTAGAGCTTGGTGCATAAATAAAGAGTATATTTATCTATTGATGAATTTTGGTGTTGTTGATGTACTTAACTGTAACTACCGCAACAAGTAGTAACTCAGATGTCCAGTGTGTTGAGTTACAGTAGAACCAAGAAGACCTAATTTTCTTGCTTTTATTATCGTCAATCTTTTAAACTTTTCATTTATAACAACTGTCCATGTAAAAAAAAAATTTTCTTTTGAATTTACTAAATAAAATCATTAATAACACTATTTGAATTGTACTGCTTATTTTTGATAAATTGCACAACTTAATACATGTACATTTGATCCTACTATAGTCATAATGTCTGAGTATTATCACATCATAATTATAACCAATGCATTGTAAAGAATTAAAAATTTGATTTAGAAAGTTGAACCCTTTGTAATTTCCATTTTTATTTTGTATTTACATCAGATGAAGAAGATAAAAATAAACAGGGTAGAGAACAAAGTGAATCGCATGTTAGGGAAACAGATGTACCTCCACAAGTCTCTGCTGCGTAAGTTAAAAACTTACTGTGGTTAAGTAATTAAGGTGCTGGCTTGCTAGCCAGAAGCTCCTGGGTTCAATCCCGGTGTTGACCGAGAAAGTTCCTCTGGACTTTTCGGCCTCGAATCACCTTGTCGGTGGTGCAGGAGGGAAGGTCTAACAAATAAGAGTGTATTTGTTCGCATGGGATGAACAACCGTTGACAGTTGGAATTTGATGAAAAGTAGACAAAAATGTCCCTAATATAGCACACATGATGAAAAGTAGGATGTTAAACCCTATTTTATTGTCAAGAGAAATCAAAATATTGCAATACATGGTCTTCCACATGTTTTGCAAGAAATTGGGCATTCCAGTAGTTTTACTCTACTTTCCCCTTTATTTTTTTGATGAGTAGGGTGGTCTAACACATACACTTTAGATCATAAGTTCTGTCATTGTCTGTGGTTTCGTTCTAATGCTATGGCATCTACTGAAGTGAATTATAAAAAATAGTAATGTACCTAATAAGTAATATTAGATTCAAAATGACCTAGAGTCTGTATTGGGTAGGCAGGCTTACATGTACCTGTTCTGGTAGGTTCTTTTCATCAAAGCTAAAATAGCCGTTTAATGTGCAGTTAATTATTGCCATATATCTGAAAAAGTTAAACATCTTTTTTCAAATCCAAAATATTACAAACTTATTTATATCTAAACAAATATTTTCTTCTGCAGAAGGCAAGCACGGCCATCAAGTGCCCGTCCTGCTCCTCCTCGACCAAAACCAGATGCTGCTGAAAGTGAACCATCCATGAGGTATAGTATTAATTTCCTCATTTTATTGAAAAATTTATACTAATATGTTTATTTACCCATTTTTCAACAAAAAAGTGTTTGTGAAACGCAGAATTTCAGGAAAATCATCATATAAATATAGGCACTGTTAGTTGCTGAATTCACACATGCAACATTCATGTCTTTTGTGTTATATTGTCAAAGTATTACTAAAATGGTTTCTCATCTTTCTTATCTGTGAACATTGAACTCGTACCAAAATAAGAGTTTGTTTTATTCTAATTGTCCAAATTTTTCAGATCTATTTCAGAAAGAAAAATGATTATTGGCTCATTGCAGCTTTAATGTTTATCTACTAGTTCATTATTTGTTATTATAGACTGGGAACTGTCCTAGTCAGTAGTGCAAGACGGGAAGACCTGACAATGACAGTTGTCTAGTTGTTCAGACAAAAAACCAAGGTCCTGTTACATTGGCGTGCACATAAAATATCCCTTGGCAGTTGGAATTCGATATAAGAGTAGGTCGTAGCACCGCTCTCCAGGCAAAATGCCCGTCTTCATCATTTCATATCTTTGATGTTTACTGTAGCAGTTTATTATGTGTTATTACAGACTGGGAACTGGAAAACCTACAAATGTAATAGTTGATGATGATAAACAGTCAGATGATGATGATGATAATTTCCTTGTCGAAGATTCAGCGATTCCACCTCCAGAACCAGAACAGGTTAGTTTTTTGCTTGAACTTATTTTAACAGAGAAGTACATGTCCCATAGTTAAAAGTATATTACAAGTTCTCAATTATAACCAAAGAGCATGTCTAAGTGAGCAATTTCTGCCATCTGTTAAATTCAAATTGGACTTTTGTTTTTTTACAATACATTTAGGTTCAGTGAGTAAAACTTGCCCGCTAACCTGGAGGTCCTGTGATCAGAATTTTCTGGTTTCATTCCCCCTGTCAGTGGAGCAGGACAGAGGGCCTGCCATGTGACAGTATAGTTGTTCGGACGAGACAAATAACTGAGGTCCCCCATACACATTGATGTACATGTAAAAGAACCCCTGGCAGTTGGAATTTTATATAAAAGTAGGCTGTAGCATCGCTGCCTGTGAAAAATTTCCCTTATTGCACAGTGTGTGGTATATATGCCCGTCTTCATTAGCCCAGATGGAGCAGAACAGTAGGATGTTGACCCCATTTCATTTCTAACAACAGCTATATTTTGTGATCACTTTTCCTGACCTGACTTTTCATTTAGATAATTAACAAATGAATAATCACAGTAGCTACAAAAAGACTTTAAAGAGAACAGAGACTTAGTTTGATCTTCTTGTAGTGTAGAACAAATTAAAATCGGAACAAATAAAAATCAAATTTTAAGTAGATTGTAATGTCTTCTATTTGCAGTTATAATATAACAATAAGATTATAAATCATTTGTTCGCTTGAAGTTTACTTTTATATCAACAGGATTTAATTATTGTTATTTAAAAATGATTGATAATTCTATCATTTTTAATCTGAACCAAAACCAGACGAGGAAGATCTTGGAGGTTCATTTCGTTCTCAGGATTCTGATTTGCGTTAGTTAAATTTATTATTAATATTTTATACATTTGTTATTTTAGCCTGCACCAAAACCAGACAATGAAGATGATGAAGATCATGGAGGTTTAGTAAAGAAAATGTTAGAAACCAAGAAAGAATTAGAACAACCAAACCAACCATTGAAAAAAGTTGATATTGTAAGTCAGATGTTTTAGGTTTTGTGTCACACTTGCAGTTTTGGTAGACTGGGCTAAAACATATTTTCGGTTATTAAAATGCTAAATATAATGTAAAGTATTTTAAGTTGATCATTAGGTAATTTATCATAAAAACTGAATTTTGTCTATGGGATTATATCAATTAATTGTTTTGTATTTAGTTCACAATTGGTTCAAAAACCTGAAATTTCAACAGTAATATTCTTTCTGAATTTTGACATTGTCACATTTGTAGGAAAGATTTGGCTTCAGAATAAAATGGATATTTGAAAAAGATAACAAATTTTGATGTAATGTTTTATTAGTAAAAACATTTGTAAAAAAATTCCTAAATTTACAGGAAAGGTCAGCAATGTCTGATGCAGCCCGACGAAAACAAAGGGAACATGTACAGAAAGAAATTGATAAATTACGATCAAGTATTCAGAGTTTAACGCGAAGTGCCAATCCTCTTGGTAAAATCATGGATTATGTGCAGGAAGATCTGGATTCGATGCAGAAAGAACTAGAGAAATGGAAAAGTGAAAACAAAGAACATGCTTTAGCTTTAAAAAGAGAAAAGGGGTAAGTCTCACTGGTTTGAAACTGCCATTCATATAGAAAAAATTAAAGTGTGTTAAATAATTATGAACTGATAATTGTTATCTAAGAATTGATTCATTAATATATATATATCTCTTTTATTTTATGTCTCAAATAGCATATTAACAATTATTGAGTTGTAAATTACACTGAACCATAATCAATATGAAAATAAATTGTTTGTATATATTGTAGTGTATTTATTATATTTCTGTGTGATTTTAAGGAAAGCTAGCATGACTTATTCTTTACCTATTTACTTATTTGAATGTCTCTGTATTTACAGGGTAACAGACCGTGCTATAGAACCATTAAAGGCCCAACTAAGTGATATAGATCAAGCGATCAAAGATCAATTAGACGCTAGTGCTGCTGTCAAAGCCAATATTATCAAAAATGACCAAAAAATCGAAAAAATGTTGAAGAGTATTGCTCGTTCATGATTATTAACCTAAGAAGTACAGACATTCCATCCTTAATTTATTTTATTGTTTTAAGTTATTTGTCCTGTCTTGTTAAGATTATAACTTACTACTAGTGTCATATATGAAGGGTATGCTAAATTCATTAAATTACCCAGTCAAAACTTAACATTAGTAGCAAGGTAGTGTGATATGTACATATATAGATTTTGGTGGGCAATATATTTTATGCAAATGAATAGCTCTCAATGTCAAACTGATATCTGGAAAATAAAGTGAATGGATCAGTTCAACTGAAAGTACACTCAATTCAGATCATCCTTATTTTTGAAAGCTAATTCTAAAACATAATTCCTAAGTGTCCGCTCTAAAAGATCTTCAGTGTAAAATATATATTTTTGTATAGGTATTTCTTATAACAGTTGTTAAGTAAATATTTGTATTAAAATCAATCATCCCACTGTTATTGATATATATGACACAAACTTTTTCTGTTTATTTTATGTGAGTGTAACAACTGTCTCTGGCTGTTCTAGTATTTATATATCTGATGTTCTTATATGATTCAACATTTGTAATAGATACAGATCAAAAAGAATGTCAGCCATGAACTGAACTTTCTGTATCGAGTAAATACATGAATTCTATCTTAATTCTGAAAAATAATCTATAATGGATGATTGTTTAAAGGGTCCTGAAAGACATAATGTATATTTAAAATAATTAAATCATCTGCGCCCTAAGTACATGTGAATTATTTAATGTCAACATAATGTTAGTTATTTTCTCCGTCCATATTTTACAAACACTAAGTTGTGCATTTTATTTTATACATGTTATTTTGTTGTTAGAATCATAGATCTGTTAAAAAGTTCTTATAATTTTAATTATATTCCTAAAGTAGTAGCAACAAGCATTATCAGTCCTCGAGCTTATAATGTTGGTAACCATTGCGGCAATGTGCTGTTAATTTACTTATTTGCCATTTAAAGTGAAATAAAATTGATTGGTCTCAGTGACTCGCAGAGGGTTTGTGATGCCAGGAGCCAACTCCTTGACTGTATGCTCCCAAGACTCAAGTATAGCCCCTAGTACTAAGAAATGTGAGAAAGGAAGACATTTTAATTAGATCAACAGATGAAATACATTTTTTACTTAAATTAAGTATTAAAATTAATTCCACGTTTTGATTGGATGCCCCCATTCCTGAAATAGATGCAGTCGTTACCACCTATGCCCCCTGATTGGTCTTTATTTATGTTATGATGTTTAAAATAATTGGAGGTAGATATGGAACTAGTTCTCCTTTTTGTTGTAAAGGGTTGTCATGGAGGGGGCTCTATAAATGTAGATATTAGGTTTATTGTAGATATATATTATTTATGCATAGTACTCTTTATATTATATCAGTTGTAAATATTCAATATGACATCTCTGTAAATGTTGGTGTATATAAATGGTTAAATTCAGTAAAATAAAAATACAGTAAAGCTTCATTTTTTAATTGGCATATCAATTTGTAACCAATTTTTCACAATATACAAAGGGGCCTCCATACAATAAATTAAAACAGAAAATTGTTTTTAAATTGGTTTTGTAATTATTTTTTTTTTACCAATACTGCAAATTATCCTCCGTAGTGTGTTGAAGAGGAGATGGACATTTGGTTTTATAAGCCTAATGGTCTAAAGGGAGATAATAAAAAGGAGTAAGGATACTAAACATACTGTTAGAAGGTTTAGTTAATTCTCTTCATTGTACCTTTATATTGTAGGACAGGAAGATTTTCAGCTATAAACAATCTACTTTTGCATCTTTGGTTATGATATTTATCCCTAGTCTGAGGAGTGGTAGGGGGGTAGTCGAAACATTTAAGGAGTTTGCGCTTTGGATCCTAAGGTCTGTCATTGGGTCAAGTGGCCTGGTTTCGATCCCAAGCTTATGGTGTAGGGTTTTGGCCGAACAAACATCAACAACATGGTCATCAAATGAGAAAGTATATTACATTGTAACATGCTAAAGGGTGAATCTTGCGTTTTGATTGGTCAATTAGACACTGTCGATTGGACAATAACACCCCTCTGTTTTAGTAATTTCTTTTAAAATGCTAAAATAGCATGTTGATATGTCGATAAACACTTCCTGTTTTGCATTTAGAGGGGTGTTATTGTCCAATAGACATGTCCTGAGATCAAACATCGGACAAACAGATTACCAGTTATCAACAGTTCGTGACACACATGAGATATACGATAAAGGTCGACAAACGGCGTCAGACGACGAACGCTGTCTTCCCTGGTATTCCGCCATAGCTGTCCCAAAGTATAACGTCACACGTGCAGCTTAAAATATTACGTGTACCATAATGGGTTTCAGCCCATTAGTATCAAGGGACTAGAAGAACGAGGCTAGACATATTTCACGAGTCCTGTCAAACGCTGACTCCATATTCTTATCTGGAGGGCATGCGCAATAAATACTATCGATGTAGACTGGAATAACCAGACGCTAGAGATTACCATTCGATTGAGACTTCTGGAGTATTTCACCGAACATAACTGATTAGAAATTACAGTAAAAGCTGAAACGATTGAGTGTAAATCAGTTTATATATTTCAAAGGAGAATTATCAGTGAGCTGAAATTCGACCATGTATATGTTATCCTTCGTTCCTTCAGTCGATTATATATAATGATAACTCCTGTTTTCCTTTTGCTTTCGTCACTTCCGTTTCTTCAAAACTTGGGTACGTATCTATCGTAGCAATGATCCCTGTGTTAAAATTATATTTGGAACGTATTTAACCAGTTCATTGTGATAATGGTTGACATCAATTTTGTCCTTTAAAAGACTATAACCTAGACCTCTGAAATTATCAATTTAATTAAGTTTGGTATGCTGATTGGGTTTATGAAGCGGACATATGTCTCTATTTTAAATTCCAGGTCAGAAAAAGCCAGTGTCCAGATGCAACTAAACAGACCATCTTCAACCAGGGATGTCCAATAGATCGTGCACATTTCCGATTAACATTTGTGTCACCTGAAACAAAAAGTTTGCTTCTTTAGGCCTTTCGGTTACATGTATTTGTAACTTTCGAAGAAATCAGGGGGCTATTAAAATGGGTTCGTCTGTCCGTCCGTCTCTCTGTCTGTCGCACTTTTTGGGACACAATATCTCTCCTAATTGAGCTAAAATGTTCAAACTTGGTGTGGGTGTTTATGCCTTGATGGTGTTCGAAGATGAGCATTTTCTGCTTAGGGTAAGCAGAGATAAGCAATTTCATTGGTTGATGCTTTGGGACACAACAACTTTAGATCTACTTAAGTGACAGTGACAAAACTTGGTATATAGTCAGGGGCTAATTGAGCTAGAATGTTCACACTTGGCGTGAGAGCGAGGACACGTGGTGTATAGTTTTATCACATCAATACCTTGACTAAGTTCGATAGTGAGCATTTTCTGCTCAGGGTAAGCAGGGTGATAAGCAATTTGATTGGTCGATGCTTTGGAACACAATAACTCCTTCTAATTGAGGTAGAATGTTCAAACTTGGTGTAGGCGTTCATTAGATGAATGCCTTGATGGAGTTCGATGATAAACATTGTCTGCTTACGGTAAGCAGAGATAAGCAATGTGATTGGTTGATGCTTTGGGGCAACGATAACTTTGGTTTTAATTAGAGTGATGGAACTCCGAGTATAAATTCATTATATCATTACATTGACTTAAGTTCGACGATGAGAATTTTCTGCTTAGGCTAAGGAGCGATAAACAATTTGGTAGAATGTTTAAACTTTATGTAGATGTTCATTAGGCGAATGTCTTGGCTGAGTTCAATGATTAACATTTCGAGCTAAAGCTAAGCAGAGGTAAGAAATTTCATTGGTCGATGTTTAAGGACAAGATAACTTTGATTCTATCTGATAGAGAGTGATGAAACTTAGTGTTTAATCGATAATCAGTTTGATTGCTTGATACTATGAAAAAAAAATAAATGTGCGATTAATTAATATGTGTCATCAATTTATTTTGGAATTTCGGCGGGGGACATCAGCCTCACTGTTGGCTTGTTGAAATGGGATTTCAGTATAAACAGATGAATACCAACAGAAAATAGAATTTGTTTTATTAAAAAGTTGAGATTTTAATACTAGTTCGATAGCGATGATACAAGTTGTCATTCCTGAATTATTCACTTTATATCGATCATTCTGGTCGATAAAAACGAAGGCATGATGATATGTCTTCAAATAAAGTCCTCATTCTGGTGACGAAGTCAGTTATTCATTTTCTTTCTGAAGTATGGTAAAACTTCAATAATCAAAGCAATGACCGCCAACCATATACCAATAGCGATGACGTAGAATGCACTTTGTAATGACAACAGGTCCACGGCTTTAATCTGAGTATTACGACCAGTGCCACAAGATGTTGAATTTGGCCACCACCTTTTTTTCCAAATCTGAACCAGTCCACTTTCATAGATCTTTAGCAAACTGAAACAACAAATTAAACTGAATACTTACGTAAAGAATCGATGATAATGGAAAATGTATGCGCAAATCGGAAGTACGAAATCGACCGATACAGTTAAATGAAATCCAGAAATCAGATCAACCAAGATCACGAGGACATGGCCGGCAGCCATGACACATACTGTAAACCGATATAAAACACTCAAGGGGTTTTCTATTCTCTTGCGTTTACGATTCAAGATGCTGTTGATCAACAAGATTTCAGAAAGAATCGATGTTAATGGGCAACTATTATACAAAATTCTACAAAATAGACTGAGTTACATGCAGAACATGCAAGATCATGAGAACATGACCGACAGCAATTCCACATTCTGATTTAAACCATCATATTTTTCCATTATTTTACTTAAAATAAAACTATGTATTATAATATTCCGTTGGTCTATATGATTTGAGGTAAAATTCTTACTTATCGGTAAAAACCGTTGTATATGCTGAATTATTTAGAAGACCAAGCCCAAACTGCATAGGAAAAAAGTGTTCTTCAATTGTGAAAAGATCACAATACTGGGTCTCCCAAATTTCCATTAGTGTATAATCACCCAAAAAGACGTAATCTCCTGCTAGAACCCTTTCTAAATGATCATCACCCGACAGACTTAAAATACCTGGATCTGACTGACTGAACTTTTCTATACCACTCCACACTTGACGGTAGTCTGACCGGTTTGAGGTCTGAAAAAAAACCATCAACATAGAAATACGCTGTGAAAGCAAAACACCAACAGTTGATTTGCTTGAATACATCTTCTGTACTAAATAAGGTGGGTCAGGGGTGGACAGAAAAGGAAACTGTGAGCATGGTAGGCTGGGGGTCCCTATAATAATGTTCTCATTGGTGGCCCTTTCAGTCGTTTTTGATGAAATGGTAAGAATGTCACACATTACGACTGGGTACTCGGGATATACTCTAGAAAGCACCATTTACAGTCAGTTTTTCAAGAATTTTCTAAACTTCTAAACCTGAGGCTAAAACCGTTCGGATTGGGAACAATGTTTCTTCCAGCTCACCTGTAATAATTGGACGATGACTGTTCCACCGATTGTTCCCCAAATGTAATCATCTTGTTGAATCATTCCTGCTAAACTTGTAAATGGTGGCTTGTCTTTGGTTACTGTTAAAAACGCCACGAGATTCCCACTGTACGTTGCTGCCATTACCATACAAAACAACCACCAAAAACCAATTAAAAATCGTCCAGACGACGATTGCGTCACATGGTTTCCACCTAAAAAGGATTAAACTCGGATTGTAATATCTACTAACTTCCGCAAAGCACTCCATATTAGGTTTACCAAACTGTCAGGTAATCTGACTTTTCGGGCAGACTGGTAAAGTGAAACAATACATAATATCATCAGGTTGGCCAAATAAAGTGCCCAAAATCTAACAAAACACTAATTTTAGTTTTCTTTTAATTGCAACTCCATTCACAAATAATATTCGAAGCCCGAAAAATTCCGGCCAAAGCAGAGTGGCTCCAGACAAAATGTTTTTATTCATAGTCATAGTCACTTATTCATAGTTACGTTAACCAGTTCTATGACATTGACATATGTGATAATGATTGACACCAATATTGTTCTTTAACTCACGGGTTAGTATAGCATATCAATGCAATAGCAATGGTTACATTTTCCAAATTTTCTCGGAGTGTGCGAGGCCCCAATACCTCGCATATTCCTGAAGCAATGGCCCGAGAAATCCCTCTCTGACCATTGCTGGATTGGCTTCCGATACTTGAGCCTTTGAGGGAGCGTGTCTAGTCTTCCCGTTAAATCAAATCTATCCTAAGTACAGCAACATGGCAGCCCTTCATTTGATCTGGGATCTTCGCTAAAACTTTGAACAGTTATTTAAGGTATTAAAAACGGTGAAGGTATTGTTCGTGTCCAAACAGTATTGTTTACATTGTGTTCGTTTTGATAGCCTCGTTTGTCACGCAATTACTTTTTCTGCAATATTCTGCTATGCACTGGTTAACTGAGCATAATAAAATCGTGAGTCATGACGTAAAGTTATGTAAACATTTGGCCCAATTTGGAGCTCTGATTAAAGCGTAACAGTTAGTTAGCTATTGGTTGTTAATCGGACTATTGGCCAGTCATAATATGGAACAGAAATTTCCTTCCTTTACAGCAGTGTTAAGTGGGATTAGGTATAATCAAACGAAACACTGCGAGGAGTATAATACCTCGCGGCTCCGTGGACTTACCGATTGATTGGTTGTTTGGAATTCTGGTCAGCCACCTACGTTAGGCTATATTGGACCACGTTGAAGTTGCTGTATTCACGGGCTGTAATAGCGACTCCGTGAACAGTAAACGAATGAATCTAGTTAGATGGAATTCATGTCAGCCAACTAAGTTGGGCTATATTAGACCACGTTGCTATATTCACGGGCTCATGGAATGGCAGGAAACGTGTTTATGCGACCGTCAAATTTTCCAAAGGCCCCCATATTCACGGTAAACTCCGTGCGACCGTCTGTAAAAGGGAATTTTTTCGGGCATAACAGGTCTGTCCCCTTAACATTCATCGGGCCCGTACGACTATGTTCTCTTCTATGGTAGAATAGGGCTACTGGAGAACGAAAGGTGTTATATAAGATCTTGATGGGTTAGAGTTACTGGATATATTACAAATTATCAGGCGTGAATTTAAGGGGGGGGGGGTGATTAAAAGCCCCTAAGGTTCACAAAAAATATAACAAAATCAATAACAATCATAATATGACATGAAATTTATGTCAACTTGAATAAAGCTGCCTTCCGGAGAGATCGGCGAACAACTACATACGCAATACGATGTATGTTCTACCAGTGTTATAGTCAAAGCTTCTATATCCGCTGCTACAGAACAAACTTTTGTAGAAAGTAAACTTACCATGAGCGAGTAAGGCACCGAACAAATACCAGATTTTAGCTTGAACTTGTCTTGTAATATCGGTGCCTCGTTTCTTGCCTTTAGTTGTGTAAAACGGGTTGTATCTCTCAATCAGAGAAAATAATATCGATATTACAAGAAATGATATTCCAATACACAACAAAACCTGCCATGTCAATGGTTCAACTAATCGTCGCCATTTTGTTTTATTGGGATCGGGTCGTCTCATCCCTAATCCTGTTTTTTCGTAGAAATAAGGTTGTGTAAAGTCCATGACAGTCTCACGTTCTGTTGAGATTGAAATCGGCGCGACCACCAAATCAACATCCTGCAATGACCAACATAAATTATTACTAGAATGTACCCAGAATTTCGTAGATTATCTGCAGATAAATGATTATTTAGAAATAGCCAAATGAACGATATCAACTTCTGTCAATGAATGAATGGAATGGGATTTCTGCACCAACCGGGATAATGAAGATGGACATACACCATACAGTGTGGTAGGATGGACATTTTGCCTCGACAACAAATTAATTCCAACTGTCAATGAATCTTTTGGGCGCAGGTCAAAGTGTACACAGGGCCTCGATTTTTCTTCCCATTAGACTTGCCAGGCCCTCCGGCCTATAGGGTCGGATTTACCTACTTGTGGGCCCTAGCCAAACTCATCGTTGGGCCCCCAAAGTTATAAAAAAATGTTGCCATAGCCCCCCAGTTGAAATCCACTCTAGGTCTATACTTATTGTACAAGGGCACCATTCTCCGGACTCAATACTTGTTCAAGGGCCCCATACCCCAGGCCCTATACTTAATGTACAGCGACCCATACCCCGGGCGCTTTAGTTATTGTGCAGGGGCCCCATACTCCGGGCCCTATACCTTATTGTACAGGGGCTCTTATGGTTTTGAATATATTACACCAGCGGCTGCCGGGCAGGATACGCCCACATTTTCGAGAGATGGATAAAGAACAAGTTAAAAAGAAAGTGATTTTTCCTACAATCAAGGGTCATAATTCAGAAAATCACAATTCGATATGCGCAAATATCGAAAGGAAACGAGATCTTTGGGTTATAAACTTACATTTCAAGTTTCAACAAAATCGGATAAAGATTGTGACCTCTATAGGGTCCACAACCTTGATATACCATATTTTTACGCTATTTGAGAACGAAGGGCGGCCATTTTGTCTGTCAGTTTTGGGCCGATTTTCACGAAATTCGAACTCAACCATCCTTAGGGTGTAACGGTGATATAATAATACGGTTTTTTAAATCGGATAAATATTATGACCTCTATAGGGCCCACAAGCTAAAAACGCGATTTTTCGTACAATCAGGGCCCATAATTCAGGAAGTTACGCTCCGATATGCGCTAATATCGACAGGAACCGAGATCTTTGGGTTATAAGCATACATTTCAAGTTTAAACCAAATCGGATAAAAATTGTGACCTCTACAATGTTCACAAGCTAAAAACGTGATTTTTCGTACAATCAGGGGCCATAATCCATGAAGTTACAGTCCGATACATGCCAATATCGAAAGGAACCGAGATCTTAGGGTGATAAACCTATATTTCAAGTTTCACTGAAATCGGATAACAATTGTGACCTGTAGACTGTTCACAAACAATTGGGCGTATAAAAATGCAATACCCGGTGTACCTTTAAACAAGGTTATGCGATGGCATACTGTGTGACATATTACCTTCAGTAGGCCCCAGATACCCGTTGGTCGTAGGCCAACGGCCTACTATGCCTATTGGTAAATCCGGACCTGTCCTTCTGCACCACTGTCATGGGAGGAACCTCGTTGAAAATTTCCGGACCTCACTTAGCCACAGTGGCTCCCAACTCGGGAAAAGCATGCGTATAAGATGGATTTTCTGGACGGCTTGACTATATAGACGATAAAGTAACCAACGTCAAATGGAAAGTAGAAAAAAAACGTAGTGAAGAAATAATTTACCTCTCGTGCCAGTTGCCCAATGAGACCAGTCCAGTTGCCATTCAATAATCGGCCCCATTCCATATCCGGAGGTTCTATTAAGGTGTAACTAAAATTAATAATAACCATTGTTGCCTAATTTGAAATATTTACGTTCTCAACACAAATTCCAAATTAATAACGTTTATCGGGATTGCATGTTAAATTAATTAAAAGATTCATTAGAAATAACCTTTTAATATTTAGTTTTAAAAATAAATCCACAAATTAAAAGGCATTTTCCACCTGAAATTCAAACTGATGGCTAATTCCTGCAGGAGGTCCAAACAAAAACCACTATATTTAACACTAGTATTCGTTGTCTTCTTGTTGACAAATGGTGGCCACTGAAAAATCATAATACATAAATCACAAACATTCAGTTACTTAAAACTATCCAGCATCAGATGAAAATACATTATTGTCTAGATTAAGGCATTAATACTGTCTCACTTCATTGCACATTTAGGGCACCAATACATCCTACTTATCCTAAATTGTCATTCAGCAGCAAAACTAGAAAGAAATAATTAACATTGATTTAACGGAAAGTTAAAAAATTGCTTGTAAGAAATACCAAATCTTGCTTTAACAGACAGTTCAAAGAATTACTTCCATTGTACATACCGGGTTAGTCGAGACTACAAATTTTCTTTTATTGAAGCCAAAATTAGCATTGGGAAAGATGGCGGACCCTAGATTAAAAGCATCGTGGTCCCTGATGCAGCCAACTTTACGGAGTTCACGCCGATCATTTTCAGCCCACATCAGTGTCGATATAGAGAATGATTTCTGTTCCATAATCCCTTGAAACAACTGTAAAAACAATTGAATGACATTGTTACACTTCTTATAGTTCCAAATATAAGAAAAGTGGCATGATAAACAATATAAAGGGCTTTTACATTCTCATATACATCAACTAATTGCTAGCTGTATGTCCTTAATGTAAGTGTTCGGATGTTGTAATGTCAGATCATATCACTTTAATATGGTGTACCACAAGGATCAGTTCTTGGACCGAGCCTTTTTACCGCTAACGAGTCTCCTCTGGATACGAATTTACGCCATACTTGTATGGATTCAATTGCCCTGCTGTATTATTTATTGTCAGCTTATTAATGTTTGCCTTAAAGTTACAATTTCATATTTTTAAGTTATATTTTTAAAATTTATTAAAATAAAGCCTTAAAATAGATGGTATCTATAAACAGTCCTACTTTGTTAAAGAATAATCCTATCCTATAATTCACTATTGCCAGTTGAGAAATTGGCAAAAATATCATTTTCAACTTCAAATTCAAACGTTTTAAGATAGCTATTCCATGGGGGGGATAAGAAAACAAGGGAGGTAATTGTGTTATTATTTCCTATGTCAATGATTTTTAAGTATGGGAAATAATGCCTATGATCGTATAATAGTGAGTTGATAACCTATTGAGCAAAAGACATAGAAATAATTATGTTTTGACTTTCTTAGAAAATATGAAATTCTCGCTTTTAAAGCCTATACTTAATTTTGTCAGGATTACTAAAACTAGGTCAGATTTGAAAGTAAAAGTAATTTGCGTGGTTGCAACAGATGACCTGACTAATCTGAATAATGGATACAATAAATCGATCATTTTTTAAAAAAAAAAACAACATATAAATACCTGTATAGTGTAATTTATAAAATATTCCTTCTCTACAGAAATGGGCACATTGCAGGTCTGGTCTAATGAACAGTTTCTTTTGTAGTTGATTATGGTCTCGGTCATAAGATTCTCTACAATCTGTCGTATAAAAATATATTGATAGAAAAACTCTGTCTGCTATGTTATTTAAATATTTTTATTAATTCTTGTCAAGTTAATTGTAAAAAAATATATCCATACTTGATAAACAAATAAAGCCTAGGTTTGTACCAGCAATTACTGTCTTCAATCGCACTGATAGTATAAAGAATTCGACTATTGGAAAATGATAGTTATGTACCGTAATAGGGTGACGATAACGCGTGGAACGTATCTTATAATCGTTGAATACAGCTACATTATCTAGTACTAGAGATGAGTCTTCTAATATACATTTATTAACCATTGTAGACGCTATCAACCATTTTGTATTCATATCAAAAGCTGATTGTTGTCCATAATATTCATTATATCGATTAGCCTGTAATAAAAATAAAACAATTAAATATATATATAATATCGTCGTGAGCATCGTAGAATATTTCCCCCATCGCTCATTAATTAATTTCATATTTGACGCTGGATGCCATATATATATATATATATATATATATATATATATATATATATATATATATATAAAAAAAAACACACTGACCGATGTATCCTTTTTAATCTGTTTAAAATTGAATTTTTAAAAATTTATGTACTTATTTAAGACGAAAGTGTGGATCAAAATGAAATTATACATTCTAATACTATTATCAAAAAATTACAGTTCGCCTAGATCCGTTTGCATGTTTAAATTTAATAGGGTTCTTAGTTGTGACAATCATCATAGAATTGGAATCGATTAAAGGACTGAAGTCATAATATCGATTTATGCACTGATGCAACATGAAATTCCACCAGTGCGGAGGAATTATCAATAATTATGATTAAATGAATGATGTTTGATTTAATTGTTTTTCTTGTGCTACAGTCAGTACCGGAATACGACTCATGAGGGCCCTGGTGCATTTAATTAAATAGGGTCCCCCTGTCCAGCACTGTTCAATAGGTCAGGTTTATATTGCAATTGAATTATTCAAACAATATATTGATTTGAAAATACCATATTGATTAAACTGAAAAGTACAATATTGATTAAACTGAAAAGTACCATTTTAAATCAATGAATACTCAAATAAATGCTGCAATGAATGAATTTCTGGTGAAAATCACCTTCAATATTCAAATTGTCCAGTATGTCTTGTATCATAGTGAAATGTAACGTTGATTTAATTCGTTTCAAGTAACTGAAGAAAAGTTTCAAACGCACAATTAGCGACTGAAATGGTTAAAAAATCTCCACAAAATAATAAACACTTTTGGGAAAGAAGTATGTAGTTGTTTAAAAAAATAATTCTGTATTTTGCCTAAAGGCCCCTAATTGGTTAGTGTTAAATGATGAGGCCAGCTCAATTTTTCGTCATAGGTCATAGATTAAATCAGACCAGTCTCCACTCTAACCCAAAATAAGCCATATATCAAATCCGATCCCTAACCGTTAGTAAATAAAATCAACTCGGTATAAGAATCCCTAGTCCTAACCCGGTGATGTGGAACAAACACGATTTTTTAGAAAATCCAATCCGTAGTAGGAAACACACTAATGTGGCTCTCCCCCCGAGAGCCTCAAATTTATTCGTTTTCTTCTTCAGAAACAAAAATACCAGAAGTACCAGAAGTACCATCCAGGGAAGACCATCAGCGCCACCAACACCAAAAAAACAGTGAAATCGCTTTTGTATATAAATCTAATGTATTCTATTTATTTTTAATAAAACTAGGAAATATCACGAACTAACTTTTCATCATCCTAGGTCAGTGCTTATGTGGAGACTTAACCTCTCCCCCAAATTCTTAAACCTAACCCTGGACCTAGCCCCATTGCTTACCCTAATCCACAATTTCGCCAACAATCACGTGCCCTAACCTTATTTACATCTCAGCTACCTTGACAAAAAATGAGCTGGCCTTAACAAATATATTTGTAGATAGTTTGAAGACAATGATACATGTTTTCATTGATTTAAGGATACAGCGGTTATTATCGATCTGTACATTTTCACCCACTCCCTTCGTCAAGTATACTGATGAGTGTTTTTTTTATTATTATTAAAATGTGCTTTATCTATGGAATACAAATTGACTGACATCAAAATACCAAGAAGGTCATCCCAGATTCGAGATATAAGAAACTAGACGATAAAGCACTCTATGAAAAGATTATTTCTCCCCATGGCTATTTTTTCCCAAATAACTCTAAAACTCCTTTGATAGTTTCCAATGATTACAAATAGTATACATTATTACATAGGTGCAGTTTTGTTCACAATTTGATAAAAATCGACAAAGTTTATCATATAAATTGTTCGTTTGAAGTCAATTAGCATCGGGTAAATTTTTAATAGGTAAAGGCATTTGATAATATCTTTTTATTTAGAACACTAATTTGGTCATCAGTTCATTTTAAAAAAACCAACCCATTATGCCAAAATGTTTATATGGTATTGCTAATCTATACTAATATTTGTGACAGTCGTTTGTTTGTCTGTCTGTCTGTCTGTCTGTTCAGGGTTGGCGGATACACAAGGGTTGTCCCGAAGATGAAATTTGGTGTATAGGGGTAGCCCGGACCGGGAAGTCACATAGGCCTGGTGGCGATGGCCTACCGCATAGAATTTCAACGATTCAGAGGAGGTTGTTTTTTTTACATGCAAGCCAACGTGTAGGTCGTGGCCTCGGTTTTTCTTCATATTCTGCCCTCATCTGGGAATCCATGGATAATACGTCTACCACAGATGGCCCTTATTCGTACTGGTATCATATAACGGAACTCAATCAACCTCATTATAGTTATTTAAAGGATATTTTGTGTGAACACTTATCTTATAACGCCGTGTGTAGATCTGGACAAAGATATATATTATTATGTTAAATTTACTTTCATCATTATTACAAAATAAAAAGACATCTTTTGATAAAATACATAAATTCCATAAAATGGTATTTACATAAATAGTTCTAAATTCTAGTTCTACTGAAGAAAAAACCCACCACCCGATTAAAATTTGACCAAAGTTTTCTCTACCCACAGACGGTGGGATTGGTGTTCAGTAATTCCAAGCTATGTGCAAATTTAGACTCGATATTATTATAAGTACATGTATCTAGTAAATGGTTTGATGGATGGAATTAGTTTGAAAATCAGACTTTTAATCTAGGGTCTGTATTCAAAGTTTTTCTGAAAGTTCAGTGAAAATACTTGATTTTTCCACTTAACAAAGTGTGTTCCCTTAAATCGGTATTCAAAGGCCGTAGTTGAACATTCGACTTCTAAGTAAGATCAGATATATGCTTATATATTTCAATCTGACATGTGTTAGGGGATTTTGTGCTAATAGATGCACTACGTCAAACAACACCATAAAACCTAGTCCAATGAAAATATTAATTTGTTAACTATAAAATAAATTCTAGTGCGGTGGGGTGCGGTGTATGATGGGTGGTCATTTGCACTATACGGGCATGTCCAAATATAACTTCTAATATGCCCTCTAGTCACTACCCACAGCTTATAGTTTGGATCAGATCTTGTATATATACTATTCAAAACAAGTAGGGGATATTTGATTTTTAAGTGTTATTAAAGTCACCAAATGAAACTGACGAAGAAACAAATGACAAAATGAAATGAAGTTCACATTCATCGATTTATTCCAAATGATCGTTAGACTAAGTAAGGCACAGACTGACCATTATAAGGGTAAAATGATACCCGGGGTCAAACAGCAAAGTTACCACAGCATCACAACCAAGTCAGTAACGGGTAAATCCTCCTCTGTTTGATCCGACGTGGCATACTCCTAATGAGACGTCTAAGGTCATTTTGGTCCAGATTGTCCCATTCCTGTTGCAACGCAGCAGCAAGTTCTTGGACATTGGCAGGACGTTGTTGACGTTGACGTAACCTCTGTCCAAGCATGTCCCAGACATGCTCGATGGGGGAGAGGTCGGGACTCAGTGCTGGCCAAGGTAATGTGGTGATGTTCTGTTGTTGGAGGTAACCTGTAACGATCCTGGCCCTGTGACATCTTGCGTTGTCATCCTGGAAGATGAAACGGCGGTCATGACGTCGTGCGAACGGCACAACATGGACTGCCAAGATGTTGTCCCGGTAGTACTGGCCTGTAACACGCCCTGCAACAACATGTAAAGCCCTTCTTCCAGCAACAGTGATGCCTCCCCACACCATAACAGAACCACCCCCAAATCGATCATGTCTGATGACGTTAACGTCTTGGAAGCGTTCGTTTAGACGACGCCACACCCTCCTACGTCTGTCCAAAAAATCAACAGTGAACCTTGACTCATCTGAAAACATCACATTGCTCCAGCGTCGATTATCCCAGTGTTGACGATCCCTACACCAACGACGTCTTGCCTGAATGTGATGATCTCTCAAACAAGGGATCACACGAGGACGTCGGGCGCGAAGGTGACCCCTATGCAGTCGATTCCGAATCGTCTGGCCACTCACTCTCACACCAGTGTCTGTTTGAAGACGAGCGCTGATCTGATTTGCTGTGATGACACGATTTCTCAAGGCCAAGGTACGGATAAATCGATCCTGGGCTTGAGTTGTCGCCCTTGGTCGACCTGAGCGTGGTCTGTCCTGTACAGATTGTGTATCACGGTATCTGGACCATAGCCTGCTTATGACAGACTGAGAAACATTCATCGTCCGCGCCACAACCGCCTGTGTTGTGCCGATCTGTAGCATGCCAAGGGCACGTAACCTTTCATTTTGGGTAAGCCGACGCATATCAAAATTTGTTTTCTGGTCACTAAAACAATTAAACTGATGTTTCCACCCTGGAATTCAATGCCACAATGACTGTAACATTCAAAGTCAGAGTCGTGCAAATCTTGGGTTGGACCCCCATGATGATCCCAAGCATCACCTGCATTCCATGTGGTAGCTATTGGTGCGTTTGGGCGTCACATGTAACTGGAAATGTTTCTTCTGTTAGGTTCTATAGTGACTTTTTTCGTAGTCATTTGCATATTTTAGTATTATGCCCCCAAAATCAAATATCCCCTACTTTTTTTGAATAGTATATAATTTACCTGCGATAAAACGGTAGCTGTACATGTACTGGAACACATCAGTAAAAGGTTCATGTTTCCGCCACCAAAATCAATATAAATTTTTTTCAACCTCGGTAGTATGTTGTCACATGATACATTATCGAATTTTAATAGAACACATTGTATTTGAATTGTAGCCAATGACAGTACCAACTCTGATATTTCTTCCTCTGAAAAACAAAGATAAATGTAAAGGGCTGGTTGATTTGGCAAGGTTTTCAGGGGTGAGGGTGATTAGAGGTCATATTATCTCCATAAATAATGGATAAAAACTGTTTTCTCGGAATACAAAATTATCACAAAAATATGTTAGTATATTATACTGTTCTACATGTATCTATTTTTTCATTATCAAGAAATACAATACGATGACGACACACCTCATTAATCGCAGCTGGTTCATTAGCGAAATGATATAATTAGCTAGATGATCAAAAGTACTGTTTCACCAAATGTCTCAACACTGTATCATAGGTAAGAGCCACCAGCGCCTCCAACACAAAAAAAAACCCACAAAAAACAGCGAAACCAACTCTGTATATAAATCTAATATATTGCATGTATTTTTAATAAAATTAGGAAATATCACGAAACAATTTTTCATCATCCTAGGTCAATGCCTATGTGAAGACCGCTCCCTCAAATTCTTAAACCTAACCCTAGCCCTAACGCTTACCCTAACCCTAACCTACAATCTCGCCATATTGAAAGGAGCTAAATCGCTAATATTTTGGACCTAGAAATTGATACAAATGGGCCGCAACGCATATAATAATGTAATATGAATGTATATAAACTGATTTACATTCAATTGTTTCTGTTTTCGCTCTAATTTCAAATCAGTTATGTTCGGCGAAGTAGCCAGAAGTCTCAATCGAACGACAATCTCTAGCGCCTGGTTATTCCAGTCTACGCCGATACTATTTATTGTGCATGCTCTCTAGATACGAATATGGCGTCACCGTTTGACATGACTTGTGAAATATGTCTAGCTTCGTTCTTCGAGTCCATTGTTACAAATGGCGCTGAAACGCAGTATGGTACACGATTCGTGTACCAATGGTTAAATGTTCATTATGTCCTAAATATTGGATATGAGAAGCCCATCTTTTCCCGGTAAGATCACAACGTCAATGTTGATTTAAACTGACAAATAATTCGTGATTTCAATGTCGAAGACTTTGGATGATATTGAGTTAGAGACTTAGCTACTTTAAATCTCAGCGACCTCGATGAAAAATGAGTTGACCTTAACAAATAGATCTAGCCTGTCAGAAGCCACTGCAGTCACTTGTCAACCGTCTGTCCCCAAGATCGCTCATCAGTCCTAACCCTAGAATCACTACTAGATCTTCCACATGATGTATGCGATCACTCATCCTATCCCCGAAGAAACCTCACAGCCACAGAGCTAACGACGAGAAGGATTTATTATGGTACCTACCGCCCGTCATGGCAAATACCCTGCTTATTGGATCCTCTAACCTAACTAGGATTGTGTCCTTTCTCGGGGACTTGGAGAACCACAGCTATTCTGGAGCCAAGATCAGCCACATCAAACAGATCCTCCAGAACTACATGGGACCTGCACCAAAAGAAATAGCCCCCTGAAAATTAGCATGCTTGGCAAAGGCCTTAAATTCATCCCAACCCCCACAATAACACCCAAAGACCCCATCACCAAGGCAACCGATCGCTTCCAAAGACTTGAATTAATTTCGACGAAATGAACACAGAAATATCATCCCTTCAGTCACAATCACAAAAACCAAATCTCAACCAAGCAACAAAAACATCAGCGCTAAACAGAAAACATAATTTTACTTATTTGTGGAATACCTTCTAAAAAGACAAAAAAAAAAAATAATTAAGAAAAGCGACAAAGGCTCGTGTTGTGTCATAATGAATCGCACAGACTATATTTCTGAGGCAGAAAAACAATTAAGTAATCCTAAACATTACACTAAATTAGACCAACCCATCTTTAAGGACACCGCAACCTTAATAAACAACATCTTACATGAATTGCAAGACAAGGAATTCATAACAGCAAACAATATGATTATATATCCGCTAAATCTGACTGCCGACAACGACACCTCTATACGCTTGCAAAAGTACATAAAAACATTATCAGGCTGCACCAGCGAATCATACAACGTATCACAATACATGTATATAGACCATTTCTTATTACCGCTAGCATGCCAACACACTTCCTACCTTAAAGACACCAACGATTTTATTCACAAAATCAAACAGTCCTTGAGCACACTATCTTAATATCTATCGACGTACAGAGCATGTACAAGAACATCGATAATAACGCAGGAGGTGAAGCAGCTAGGAAATTAATTCTTTGGAACGCGCAAGTAACCAGACAGGACGAAGAAATCCTCAAATCACTCGGAATCTGTCTGAGAAGGAATGATTTCGCCTTCATCGACCAAATGTACCCCTAGTGTTCTGGAATTGCGAAGGAATTAACGGTCACCAGTCATACATAGTCACCAAAAAATACAAACCGGTCTCAATTCACCTCAACTAACCAAATCATGACATTTCTGATTTCATTGTCACGCCCATAGAAAAGACTAAGAGCGAATTAGAAACTCCAGAAGAAATTAAAACGTGTAGACTAACAAGAGAAAAGTTCTGGATTGACAAATTAAAAACATCAGACCCCCCTCCCCCACCCCACGTTTGAATATTCAAACGGCTAGCGCAATAGCGCATTTTGTTGTCCCATTTAGTGTAACAGCAGCAAGTGAATCCAAAATCGTCAGAAAACACTATATTGATCTCCAGAAAATCACCCGAAAATCTTCACACAGAAACTTATAATTGCATATTCTAAAAATAGAAATCTGACCATCTTAGTGCACAGTAAATTGGACTAGATAATATCAGTCCTCACCCTAACCCAAAGCAAACAATATATCAAACTCTAAACGGAAAAGTACGTTTCTTTATACGAAAACGAACCAATACTTGTTTATATTTAAATTTCCATGTTTTTTTATAATGTATAGCGTTAATTATATGATAATTCATAAATTAGTAAACGGAAAAGTACGATTTTATTATAATCGATAATACTTGTTTTACTACAATTTGTAGTTAAGATTTAAATGATTTTAGGCATCAGACATCTCTCACAAAGCGAGTTATATTTATTTTATATTTTTAAATTACACCACCTATAATTGATTTACACCACCCACAATTGTTTATATATTCGCACTTTTAATTTAATATATTTTGATGGCCTTGAATAAATTAAACTTTAAACTACAATATTGGAACTCTAATTTTTATTCAAAGGATGCGAAAACGCACGTTTATAGTATATTTATATCCAATGGACGGCTCCTATTGTTGTTTCTGCCACGCCCACTTTTTTTGTTAACATCAAGATCGTCTTTTAACTTGGCGCATGCCCGCTCATCTTGGAAGCTGACATACTTATTCCTTATAGCCGAAGGATGACAGCTATTGATATTGGTCTATGCCCAACGCTCATGGGTGTTGTCACGCCCACTTTTTTGTTAATACTCTACAGATTTTATTCAAATTCGGTTTGATCAATCATTTCAATAACAGGATGGTTATGGTACCTATTCATATTCGTGCATGCGCGACTCCCAGGAGCGGTGCTACATCTGCTTTTTTGTTTACATTTTATCTGTATAAACATTCTACAGGTCGCGAATCTTACGGACTTTAGCATGATCATTACTTTCAAAGAGAGGATGATACCCTCTGATGTAAATGCATGCCCGAACCACTACCGTCATGATGAAACATGGTTTCTTTGAATCTTTTTTTCTTTGAGAGTCTGCTTATCATGTTTTCAAGTTAAATGATGGTTTATTCGAAGGAACATTTTGAGTAAATGTACCTATTGTTGATACGGATTCAAAATATGTAATATTTCTCTTTACTACTAGGGGGTATAGAGGTCTAATGTCATTATAGCCTTATGAAAATGATAGTTTTAGGACTCGCGGGTTTATTTGACCCCTCTCCTAGCATGAGGACCACAAAAACTTGTTTAATTCATCTAAGAATTTAGTCAAATTTAGTGTAGCAGAAATGTAACCATTAGATCTAGAAGAAAGATTATGGCAACCATCAGTGTTGAAGACTGCATGTCTATTGGTGTGCGTACATGACTAAATGATGATACATCCTAATGACTCAGTTTGAAGCCCAAATTCAACATGTCCGATTAAGCTGCGTCCATTTCGTACCAATACTTGTTGAAATACCGTTTCCAAAAAGCCTAAGATATTAATAACCAGCCGTAAAGCAAGTGTATTATTCCGCGCCGATTTCGTTTCCGGAACATATCTCATAAACCGTTCAAGATATCTTTTTGAAACTTTCTACACACATCAACCTATTTAGGAATTTCTTGGATTTATATTTTTTGTGTTTCCATGGAAACAAATTTGACTTGATTTTTGGTGTACAATTTTGTTTCCAGAGAGAGAGAGAGAGAGAGAGAGAGAGAGAGAGTCTTTAACGTCCACTCGACACAAACTAGGTCATTTCGGGACTAAATCATGGTTCAATTTTATTTCAATAATTCGCTTGTGCTTAGGTGTCTTTAGCAGTGGGAGGAAACCGGACAACCCGGAGAAAACCAACGAGGATGAGCTGGCGACCCTTTTCCTTGTAACGTACAACCGGCGTATCGAAACCATGTCAGTTGACTCAATGACAGATCTTTTGATACAGTGCACACATGCTAACCATTCGGCCATCCAACCTCCCAAAAGTATCTCAAATTTAACTTTACTACTAAAGACTATAGCATTCTTTTCAACATCTTGATTCGGGAGGATGTCTCATAAACCATTCAAGATATCTTCGTGACACGTTGTACAAACATTAACCTATTGTAGTAGTTGTGCCTTTTGCTATTTCCGAATTGCTTGGATCTATATTTTTTGTGTCCATGGAAACAAATTTAACTTAGTTTTGGGTGTACAATTTGGTTTCCGGAGCTTACCTCATAAACCATTCAAGATATTTTCATGAAACTTTGCACAAACTTCAACCCCAATCTCAGAAACTGTTAGAGATACCATTATAGTCCACGTGGCAGACCTCGGATTTCGGAGTATCATTACCAATTTGATGAATAAATTCAACCATGATTTTCAGTTAGCCTGGTGCCCGAAGTGTTTAAATTTGGTTGATGGACTTCCGGGTCACTTTGCTAAATGCCATTTTGGCGGCCATCTTTAAAAATGGCCGCCGTTTTTTTTATTTGAAATAGTGCAAGTCAGGGAAACCTCCACAACTCCTCAACAGGTTCACCTATGGATATGTAAAATGGCTCAAAATGTTCATAATACAATTCTAAATCTGCTGGTATATGACTCATGTTGTTTAGGAAATGCTTTCGGTTTCAAAATAACACTTATAACACTTTTACATTTATCATATTATTTTATTTTGTGGTGGCCGCCTTCCATCCTGATTTCGTTTCCGGAGCATATTTCATTATCCGTTCAAGATATCTTTTTGAAACTTTGTACAAACAGGGAGGCAAAGGTTGTTGTGCAAGCTTTACAGGGAGTATCGACCCTGCCTTGCCGAGCTACTGTGATCAAAGTATGAATCTTCTGACTCGTCCCATTGAGATCCAATTCCAAACGAGTGCAAGGGGTTGGTGATGACTAGTCATCTTGTTTTAGTTGAACTGAGCACGGCAATGTTTGTCAACAATGATCACGTGACTAATTACGTGCCGCGATCCAACGATTTTCATAAAATTCTTATTCAGACAATTGTGTGAATATTATACACACTGAATCCAACCGGCGAACGGTGCTTGTATCTATCAAGTTAAAATATTGCAAAGGCAGCACCAGGCGCTTTAGCGAGAGGAAAGATCTAAACCATATAATCTGCCCCAGTCCACGGCCTGATATATCTGACGTTCGCGTAATTTGAATATCTATATATGCCATAAGAACGTTGAAATATATACAAAACATTAAAGCAGACAAAATATTTGTCACTTGAAGGAAACAAACCACGTTGACGGAGTACTGTTTAATATGGGTGTATTTACGCGGTGGATTTGTGTTTATACCATGCTAATACACAGTCCCGTTTATGAGATTTTCGGCATGACGACGATGTGTGATCAACATAGAGTGCTAAACATAATTATGCCAAATCCGTGTGCTTGCTATGTAGACCAGCGAGCACGTTGAACCCATTACATCACTTCCGGTTTTAATAAAAATTGATTTCTCGCTTACAAAAACATTTTTGCTTGTGGTGATTATTTTTGAATATACATTTATATTTAATATTTATGGATACCTTGTTGTTGAAAATTGTTGCTCTTCCCCTTTAATAACGTGTTTATGATGCACGACACTTAGTGGCCGAAGTGGGATGGTTATCTTATATTGTATATATTAATGATTTGGAGTAGTTTTAGGTATTATTATTGGAAAGGTATTTAGTATTGACATCAGAAAGAAATGATAGTTTTCAACAAGTTTCTATTTTAACTGGTGCTTACCATAAAAGCTATCATAGATTATAGCAATTTTCTGCCATTTCAAATTCTTCATGGTTGACACCATAAGTTTCGATAAGTGGCTACCGATGACGTTAGATACTAGATGAAAGTCGCAGTCGAGGGGTGTGTCGTTGAAGTTCTTACAGTATGACTGTGACATCAGTTCCTGCTTTACATCCGGTTGAAATATGTCCACTTTTGGTACTGTAACAACATCCATAAAATGGCTGTTTATTCCATTATTAACAAAGTTGATCACATCACATGCTTGGTTCAAAGCTTTTACTGCAATATAATTAAAAATAAACGCATTTTTTTAAATGTCCTACATTATTAGAAAAGCAATAATCGTTTTGCCATTAATTAGACCTTATTTAAACAGCGAAAGCCATATATTATAATAGCTAAATCGTTTTTCTGGCTTCAAATGCTATATAAATTATTATTTAGACATTTATTTACATGACAAGTCAATAATCAACTCCTTAGACCATCGGATGGCTGAGATGTTGAATAGATTAGACCATCCGCACTATATAATCGGTTAAAGGGCACATAAGATGGATGACATTACTTTTCGGTACGTATAGCCAATGTTTACTATATCCACTTCACGGAAAGTTTACACCAATCTGATTAAAATTAATTCGGCTATTTTCACTCAAACTCGCAAAAAGAGACCTCCCGTAAAAACAACTTTGCCAATATCGAAAACACTCTTAATCCTCTCAGACGCCAGTGACGTCACAGTGACCGAATGCATATTCGGAAGCCGGCGTGTGTATTCATTAACGCCTAATCCCCTAATTAAATAAAACAAATGACGACGGAATAAGTTGTTTTGCAATTTATTTTAATTTAAGACCCAAAAATTTAGCATTTGTTTCATAATGTCCCGCCCTCTCTTCTCACGACAGCGATTTTAAAACTGTATTTTAAAGTGACTTTTTGATAAGAGTCCCTCTACCATCGCGTGCAGTCCAAACGATTCGAGATACATTTCCGCCAGAAGCGTGTTGTGGTTCTAATTTCCCCGAGTAAAAGAGTAAAAAGATGTGTTCATGCAAAATGTATCATAAAAGTCAAACATGATTGAAACGCGATTTGTAAATGACGATCCGTTATCAGAGTAGCCAATTGTATCTCGTTTTCCTGTAGCCATCGTACGGCGCTTTTCTTTCTGCGTGTGAATTTGACTTCATTACTCCGAAATAGACCGTAAAATGAAATATGAAAAAATAACTCAATATACGTTAGAATTAACAGTACAAATAAATTGTTCTTAACCATCTAAATCGAATAACAGTCTGAGAAGGGTCATCTAGCTATCTTTGTGTATTAATAATAATATTGCAAGTGTAGTGTCGTTAATATCTGTCATTAATCAATCCGACTAAAGTTGCACAAACATGGGGTCATAAATTAATTTACACCTCGATGTGGGATTAAGAATGCTGATTAGGTAATTATTTTTTTACGCCGGCCAGCTCAATGACCTTTAGGTGGAATGTGTGCGTAATACCCCACGAACGAAGAAAGTTACGGGTGGAATTTTTCTCCACACGACAACTTTACTAATCGTAGAATCGTACACGTTAATTGTATAAAATAATTAAGTTTTACTCATCAGATGTTTATAATGATTATTTAACCACAATTAGCTTTGTTCACCGATGTTTTTGTAATAAAGTAGCCTCGTATTATTTGTTGATTGGTGTTTAAACAACATTTAATTGGCTTGATATGGAATCTAAATATATATTATCGATGGATAAATGGTTGTGATAAGATTAGGTTTTAATGTCTAACACCGTCTGTCTTCTTTATAATAAAGGTATTTTACAATTACATTGACAATTTAATCACCCACCAAACGGCACCAGGAAGTCCACGTATGATCACGTGTATTTGATATTCATGTCCATGAATCCCATGCAATTTTCGCGCTAAAATTTAACCTCAGTTACTACGCCCGTAGTGTGCCTGGGACCGTACATGGTAATAAGATTCCCGGCGTTGATTGGCTGAGAAATGAGGGCGATCTATTGTTATGCATAGTCATGTGAATTTCAAATGTAGTTACGAAAAAAGTTGTTCTTTGTGTATAGAAATGGTTATTATTATAGCTAATAATGAATATATCGACAAATGACTTGCACCATTTGTATTTTTGTACAAATACAAATAGTTTGGGATATCAAGTATTACGGGTTTATCCAAATTACCGGTAAATGCGCTAATTGCTTGGGTCGTATTCATTTGTCACGTGGCCTATTTAAATGAAATGAAATGAAATGGGGTTTAACGTCCTACTGTTCTGCTCCTAAACACAATGGCACTCTAAATGAATCTACGGCATGATACTAAAATATTCCAATCACAAATGTCTAATCTATAGCAACGCAAGACGATAATACGGTGATTATGATTAGGCCAGTCACATGATAATTGGACCGACAAATACACACTTTGTAAAACCAATTACAAAAAAATGAATTAAAATTCATACACGATTATAAAAATAAGCATGGTAATTTATATGATTTTTTACGTAAGTCCAATCCAAATTTATTTTATAAACTATGCAATAAACGCAAAACAAAAAAGGACCCCAATTTAACTATAGATGAATTCTATACTCATTTTAATAATTTGTCTTCAAACCTGCCGACTCTTAATGAAGCAATTATTGAATTTCTTACGTCATATGATAAAGAGAGTTTATTAAACGTCTACAACCAAATAAGGCTTCTGCAAATGACAATATTCAAAATGAAATTTTAAAATTTGGTCAGAATGAACTCATGCCATGTTTCCTTAGTATTTTCAATAATGTCTTCAACTCTGCCTATTTTCCGTCATCTTGGGCAAGTGGCAATATCGTACCAGTTTTTAAAAAAGGTGATACTTCAGACTTAGATGATTATAGAGGATTCATGATTGTTTCTTGTCTTGGTAAATTATTCACTTCCATTATCAATAATTATCTGTTAAAGTTTGATGCTAATGAGGTGAAAATTACTACCTGTCAATTTGGGTTCCGTAAAAAACAGTTCACTGTAGACGCTATTTTTATTTTACAATTAATTATTAATTATTTTCTGAAGAAGAAACGTCGTCTTTGTGCGTGCTTTGTAGATTACTGTAAAGCTTTTGATTATTTAAAAAGGTGTAATTTATGGTATAAATTAATACTGAAGGGAATTGGGGGTAAAACTTTGAAAATAATAAGGTCTCTGTATGACAAGGTTAAATGTTGTGTTAAATTAGATGGAGAACTATCTGAATATTTTAATAGAAAGAATGATATATTTCAAGAGGAAGTTTTATCGTCGTTGTTATTTTCTTTTTATATTAATGATTGCGAATCTCATCTTTTAGCCGATAATTGTGAGTCTATTGATATCCAGACATTCAATTTATTTTTACTTATGTACGCAGACGACAAAGTAGTTCTTTCAGAAACTCAACAAGGCCTTCAACCTATTTTGAATTCTCTATGTCGATTCACACATAAATGGGATTTACAAATGAATACTAAAAAGACTAAGATTATGATTTTTCGAAATGGGGGTAAACTTAAAAATTATGAGAATTGGACTCTTGATGGTTGTAATGTTGAAGTTGAAATAGTTCAATTATCTTGGCCTACTACTAAATTTTAATGGTAAATATCTAATTACAGAAAAACACATTGCTGAACAGGGTCGAAAAGCTCTCTTCTCAGTCTCAAAAGTTTGTAATGAAAATTATTTTAATAATGTAACTAAACTTTGTATTTTTGATACTTTTATCTCTTGTATTCTAAATTGTGGAGCTGAAGTTTTAGGCTTTCATTCGGGACACGATATAGAACAAATACATTTAAGTTACCATAGGAAAATCTTAGATACAAGAACAACCACAAATTCCCACTTGGTCTATTATGAACTTGGACGTTTCCCTATAATCATTACGGGAAAATTACGGATCTTAAAAAACTGGATTAAAATACGTTCTTCTACTAATGTCTTACTTAATTCTTGCTACTCTAATATGTTAATTAATAATGACCCGTGGGTCCTGAATGTTAAGAAGGAACTTTTTAAAATTGGCTTGGGAGATTTATGGGAATAACGTTTTCATCTCATAAACACCAAATTGTATCCATATTATCAGACAAAGATTATTAGACATATTTAGACAGGAGTGTATTGGTAAATTTGAATTATCAAGTAAATGTATCATTTATAAGTATATTGTGAATACATTTGGCTTAAAATATTATTTGACTATATTATTTTCATTATTGTCCCCCGCCTTTTAAAGAAAGCAGGGGTCTATTAAAATTGGCCTGCCCGTCCGTCTGTCTGTCTGTCTGTCACTTTTGGGGACACAATAATTGAGCTAGAATGTTCAAACTTGGTGTAGGTGTTTATTGGGTGAATACCTTGATGGGGTTCAAAGATGAGCATTTTCTGCTTATGCTAAACAGAGATAAGCAATTTAAATTGGTTTATGCTTTGAGACACGATAACTTTGGATCTAATTAAATGAGAGTGATGCAACTTGGTATATAGTTTCATTACATCAATACCTTGACTAAGTTCGATAATAAGCATTCTCTGCTCGGGTAAGCAGAGTGATAAGCAATTTGATTGGCCGAGACTTTGGAACAAATAACTCTCCTTCTAATTGAGCTAATATCTGCGACCTAGAAATTGAAACAAATGGGTCGCAAGGCTTTTAATAAAGTAATATGTATGTACACGTATATAAACTGATTTACATTCAGTCGTTTCCGTTTTTACACTAATTTCAAGTCAGTTATGTCCTGAGAGTACGCCATGTCCCAATCGAATGGAAATCTCTATAACGATAGTACATGTATTTGTTGCGCATACTCTCCAGAAAAAAAATATGATGTCACCGTTTGACTTGACTTGTGGAATATGTGTAGCCTCGTTCGTCGTGTCTCTTGTTACAAATGGCGCTGAAACACATTATGGTACACGTGTCGTGTACCAATGGTAAAAAGTTTATTTTGTCTTCAGTATTGGATATCAGAAGCGAATCTTTTCCCGGTAGGATCACAACACTAATGTTGATTTAAATACGTCGTGTTTTCAATGTTGAAGACTTTGGATGATATTGAGTTAAAGACTTAGCTACTTTAATACCTGTAACGGCTTTAAAGGAGACCGGGATAATCTGTTCATGTGGATCGCGATAAAGTTTCTGGTCTGATGCTTATGAAGCTTAGTTCGATCGTGAACATTTTCAGCTTAGTCTTAAAACAGATAATCAGTTTTTTTTAAAAATAAATGTGTAATTAATTAATATGTGTCATCATATTATTTTGGGATTGCGGCGGGGGACATCAGCCCCGCTGTTGGCTTCTTTTTTTTTTAGCAAGAACAACAAATTCTTTAGATAATGCACCCCTAACAAAATAATTATGTAAGTCATGGAATGTTTATTAATAATTTAAATCGTAATATACCTGTATTGATTTCTGTTGTATAGTCGTTCCCTCTTGATACTTTCTGAATACAAAATGATAAGTTCATATCCTGCAGACTCTTTAGAACAGTGGAATTAAAATTAACAGAATCGTGCCTAGCACCGCTGCTACTGCTAACAATACCTGTTGTTAAATAATAAACATTTAAAAAATAAAATACGAATATGTATTTGCTAAAAGCTGATATACCTTTGAATGTCTAATGTTTTCTTGGTCTTGAGTAAGGATTTGAAATTGTAAATATAACACTTTTAAAAAACAAGTTGGAAAACCATGCCGCACATCCCCATGAAGTCATACAAGGAGAGGGACTCCTTTCAAATGCTTTATCTGATTGAAATATCTACCCATTACTTTTTTGAAAGGGGTTTTGTGACCAGGGCCCTTATTCACGAAAACTTAAACTAAGATACAATCGAAATTTTAAGAAATACTGCAATTCGATGGGCTGACCAATATGCAAATTGGATATATGCAAATTGATTTTACTGGGCAGCCAATCGAATTGCAGTATTTCTTTAAATTTCGATTGTATCTTAGTTTAAGTTTTCGTGAATAAGGGCCCTGACTTTGTGTTTTTAATTCGGGTGCTTTGAAGACATTCTGTTGCTATTTTGGGACCTTGTTTTTCTTAGACTTGGCTTTTTGTCTTGTTTCTGTAGACTAAATGCTGGTATTGACATATCTTATAAACACACAGCCCGTCGTGATTGACACTGGAGTGGTGCACTGTTTGAGTGGTGGATGATCAATGTTTAGTCGTTCGGTTGAGACGTAAAACCGAGGGCACGTGTACGCATGGTCTCTACCATCCAGAAAAATATTCTACGAATATTAGTCCAGATGCGTTGTCAACATTTGAGAAAAATAGGCAACTGGCTAAATTATCCGGTCTTTTACATTATCATAAACAAAGTCTAAGGCTTTAACCAGTCCTAAAACAAGATGTCGACGCCCATGAAATTAATTTACGAATGCCATTTCAGAAAATCCATTTGATTTCATTACCAGTTCAATATCCAATATTGTAAAATTTCTCTTTTCACGGGCGATATCTAAGGTTTTTTTTTAAAAAAATTAATCATAATTCGACGTCACGATTCACGTTAGTTTATAATAATGCAATTATGGGATTTATTGCGGGGAGGGGCGCAACTCTTATTTGACTTGGCCAGATATACTGGATAATAAACCACATAAAAACAAACTCCCGGTTACGCATGAACAATGGAACTTTTCGTCATATATTGACAACGGTCCCAGACCCACCGAACGTTGATGACTAGGAGGTTCTGGGTGACCGAGACTAGTGTACGCATTGCCATGTACGTAAAAGAATCCTTGAAAGTTGTAATTCGGAATAAGAATAGGCCGTAGAGCCGTTGTCCAGGCAAAATTTCGCCCATAGCACCCAGTATGGATAGAGCAACAAACAGCTAAAGTTCGCTCAAAACGAAACCAAACTTACAACAAGGGAGACAATCTACGATAAACGGGAAAACCACATCCTCAATGAAATGGGGTTTAACGTCCTACTTTTCTGCATCGACTGGCTAATAACGACGGGCTTGTTTCTGCTGTTTATGTAAGATGCGATTCTTAAGCTCTTACTATTAGATATACTTACATATAACAATTGATCCATCCGGACAATCATATCTGATATCTGAAACTGTATTCACCGCCGGAACCAGATATAACAGAAATAAAATTATTTGCAGAGGCATGGTGTTGGGATACTGAAAGTCAATTTATTGTATACTTATCATAACTTTGGATTAACATCATTTTTTATTCTTCATATAATATATTGTTATTTCTTAATGATTATATCTCTGTCTCTGTTTTTATCGATTGAATTGCATTGACATTTTTTATAGAATAAGTAGCTAGTCCGTATCTCTGTTCATCTCCTTGAATATGAATGGTCCATAGCATTATCATTAGATACTGTTCAACAGCCACGACTGCGCCTTTACCAAAGAAATGGAAGCGATAACATTTCCTATTCATCTGCTTCCCTTTCATGCGATAAAGGCGACGTAGCCTAATCCTATCTAAATTATTAATTAGACATTAATTAAATTATCCAGACCATAATCGCTAGCCTGTGGTATTTACTGGATTATAATCCGATCCGCTGCTCAACGCTTATTCATGGTTAAATCAAAAAGTGGATAATCGAGACTATGGTTTTTATCGTACCGACTTTAGTAGTATGATGGTCGAGGCTAGGCCCAAAATTCAATCGCTAAATTCTCCGTTCAGAGTGGATCAATTTGACTGAAATGTTCAGTCATACTACTGTCAAATACATGCATGTATTGTTGATTTGTGCGTTTATATCTAAATGTTATTGGCTATAATTATATCGACTCATTAACCCGGTGGTAGGCACTTAATTTGATCACCTATACTTGATCCAATTTAACTATACTATTCAAAAAAAGTAGGGGATATTTGATTTTGGGGGCATAATACTAAAATATGCAAATGACTACGAAAAAAGTCACTATAGAACCTAACAGAAGAAACATTTCCAGTTACATGTGACGCACAAACGCACCAATAGCTACCGCATGGAATGCAGGTGATGCTTGGGATCATCATGGGGGTCCAACCCAAGATTTGCACGACTCTGACTTTGAATGTTACAGTCATTGTGGCATTGAATTCCAGGGTGGAAACATCAGTTTAATTGTTTTAGTGACCAGAAAACAAATTTTGATATGCGTCGGCTTACCCAAAATGAAAGGTTACGTGCCCTTGGCATGCTACAGATCGGCACAACACAGGCGGTTGTGGCGCGGACGATGAATGTTTCTCAGTCTGTCATAAGCAGGCTATGGTCCAGATACCGTGATACACAATCTGTACAGGACAGACCACGCTCAGGTCGACCAAGGGCGACAACTCAAGCCCAGGATCGATTTATCCGTACCTTGGCCTTGAGAAATCGTGTCATCACAGCAAATCAGATCAGCGCTCATCTTCAAACAGACACTGGTGTGAGAGTGAGTGGCCAGACGATTCGGAATCGACTGCATAGGGGTCACCTTCGCGCCCGACGTCCTCGCGTGATCCCTTGTTTGAGAGATCATCACATTCAGGCAAGACGTCGTTGGTGTAGGGATCGTCAACACTGGGATAATCGACGCTGGAGCAATGTGATGTTTTCAGATGAGTCAAGGTTCACTGTTGATTTTTTGGACAGACGTAGGAGGGTGTGGCGTCGTCGAAACGAGCGCTTCCAAGACGTTAACGTCATGAGACATGATCGATTTGGGGGTGGTTCTGTTATGGTGTGGGGAGGCATCACTGTTGCTGGAAGAACGGCTTTACATGTTGTTGCAGGGCGTGTTACAGGCCAGTACTACCGGGACAACATCTTGGCAGTCCATGTTGTGCCGTTCGCACGACGTCATGGCCGCCGTTTCATCTTCCAGGATGACAACGCAAGATGTCACAGGGCCAGGATCGTTACAGGTTACCTCCAACAACAGAACATCACCACATTACCTTGGCCAGCACTGAGTCCCGACCTCTCCCCCATCGAGCATGTCTGGGACATGCTTGGACAGAGGTTACGTCAACGTCAACAACGTCCTGCCAATGTCCAAGAACTTGCTGCTGCGTTGCAACAGGAATGGGACAATCTGGACCAAAATGACCTTAGACGTCTCATTAGGAGTATGCCACGTCGGATCAATGCTTGTTTGGCAAACAGAGGAGGATTTACCCGTTACTGACTTGGTTGTGATGCTGTGGTAACTTTGCTGTTTGACCCCGGGTATCATTTTACCCTTATAATGGTCAGTCTGTGCCTTACTTAGTCTAACGATCATTTGGAATAAATCGATGAATGTGAACTTCATTTCATTTTGTCATTTGTTTCTTCGTCAGTTTCATAAGGTGACTTTAATAACACTTAAAAATCAAATATCCCCTACTTTTTTTGAATAGTATATATAAAAATAAACCGTTATATGACCAACGACCAAAATAAAGACGAAATCTATATAAATACTTAATGTAGAGTTTGTAGTGAGTAACAAATGAAATGAATTGAAATGAGCATTGAGGTGATGATGAAAGGGATATGAGGCGTTAGGATGTGCAGATATATCTGTTCAGTATGAGTGAATTGAAATTACGCGACGGCTTTGTGTACTAAACATTAAAAAACATAAATCCTTGTTTATAATATCCTAATAAACAGCCCATTACAAAACACAACACAAGGTATATATGGATGTAACTACTTCTCTATTATTTAATAACGACGTTTCGTAACACATACAGGTCACGTTTTGAAGTTAATGATAAATATCCGTTGTTGTTGTTTATTAAACATGCATTATGCAAGAGCAAAATCTGCTTATTACAAGTCTTTCTTTAGGCCTGAAATGTTATCTAAATTATCAATTAGACATTAATTAACTTATCCAGACCATAATAAACTCTCGATGTCAAGGCTAGCCTTCGATGTTGGCTGGATTAGATTCCTATATGCCGCTAACGGCCAATGATAATTAAATCAGAAAAAGTGGATAATCGAGACTAGCTGTTTATATTAATGATTTTAGTAATGATGACCGAGACTATGCAAAAATTTCACCTGCTTCTTTCTCGGCTCATAGTGGATCAATTTGACTGAAATTTCCAGCAAATTACCTTTACACTATCTAGTTTTTAACTATTATAGCGAGAACTGCCATCTCTTTATCTTATCTCCCATAATGTATCTTTAAAGATTTAACGTCCAATACAATGAATATGATATTATGGACAGGTTGATGATAAATATCCATCTAGTCAGCCTATTTATACATACTATTTTAGCTTACACCAACTTAATTAATAATCAGAAGAAGCCATTAAAATAATTAGAAGCACCTACAATAACAATAAATAATAAAACAATAATAATGACTGACCCTTTAGTAGGATAATATAAACAGTACTAAAGGGTTTAACGTCCTACTGTTCTGCTCCTATACTGGGCTAATGAAGACGGGCATAAGCCATACAGTGTGCTATGAGGGAAATTTTGCCCGGGCAGCTGCACTATCGCTTATTCTTATATCGAATTCCAACTGCCAAGGGATCTTTTACGTGCATTCCAATGTATACACGGGACCTCGGTTTTTCGTCTCATCCGAAGGACTAGACAGCTGTCCTTGTCAGGCCCTCCGTTCTGCACCACTGACAAGGGGAAACCACGTCGAAAAATCCAGATGAACTTTCTCGGCCAATGCAGTGATCGAACACCCGACCTCCAGGCTAGTGAGCCAGCCAGCGTCTTAACCACCTAGCCACCGTGGCTCCCAATAGGGTTTCACCAAATCACATCTTAATCAGACCAACATTAATAATCACAACTTAATAATTGTTAACTTAGAACTAGGCAGTAATAACGAAAATATAATATGTTTCAAATAATAGAGACCTTCAAACCAGCATGCCAACTAAGGGTTATACAAAATAAAATAAGAATTATAAGCATTTAATCAGATAACAGGCCACACTGCTTTAAATTGATTGAAACCTATGTTTTAATGTATATAACTAATAGCTATTAATTACACCAGGAGAACAAGAATATAAAAAATTCAAAAAAAACCCCAAAAAACAAATAAATAAAAATAAACAAATAAAAAACCTGACATGAAGTAACTACCATATTATTAATATATAACTATGCACATTAAGCGTTAAAAAGTAACTACTAAATTGTTAATGTATACTAGCATGTTTAAAATTCTCACAACACATAACGCACAGAATTTAAACTATCAAGGCATCCCAAGCATTGGATATATATATAGACTAGAGTCTATGGATTTCTATAGCTTCACGGATATGTAACTGTTTGCTGGACTTGATGTTTTCTGGCTAGAATCTGTTTGTCTCGCCATTTTATAGTATGATTAGGGTTGTCCATAATATGCTGAGCTTTTGCTGATCTATCTCCTTTCTTGTTTGTAGTGGCCAGTCGGTGTTCATTGACTCTAACTGATATTGAGGGTTTAGTTTCTCCTGTGTACGAGGCATCACAATTACAGTCTTGTAAATAACATCTCTCGGATCTTGCCGTTGGGTCCCCATTCTGCCATCTGCTTTTATTAGGTTTTTGAGTGTCATCCCACTAGTTAAAATGACTTTTACATTCAGTTTTTCCAGGATTCTTTTTATCTTGTAGCTTAGGTTGCCAATAAATGGAATATAAACTAATACCGGTTCTTGTTCTCTAACTGGTTTTACAACTTTCTCTCCTAGGGCCTTATGATTGTGACGAGGTCTTGATTGTTCGTCGAAATCTATTGTTTATTACCATTTTAGGGGATCAAACTTTCTAGAATCGTCATTGGGAAACTTCTGGAAAGGTGTGTTTAGAATTAATTGGAAGGGACTGGAGTTTTGTAGAAAAAAGTTGGAAGGTTCTGAGAATTTCCCAGACAGTTCTAGAATTCACCAAAACTGTAATAGCCGGACCAGACCAGTATGAGGACAGAACTTTCTCGAACAGAACTCAACTCAAGTCGTAAGTTTCTATTTGACCCACGTGTTCAGTGTTCTCGATTCGATTCCCCGGTCGTACGTGAAAAGGAGTAGGGTCGCCTGCCCAACATCGTGGGTTCTCTCCGGGTACCCCAGTTTCCCCTACTGCTAAGGACCCCTACGCGCAAGCGAATTATTGAAATAA